ATAAATGCTGGAAATTAAACTTGGATGCGTAGCACTGTGGTTCTGAAAACTGGGAAACATGCAACTCCTAATTACCTGTGAACATCTCTGTTTAAAGCACCTGTTCATTTTCTTTCACAGAAGGATTCTCTGGCAGGGACAGAGTGTTTGATTCTCCCATGTGTTAATGAGCTGCATTCTTGCAAGCTTGTCCTTATTGACACTAAAGTTCCCTCACATTGCTACTTCCCAACTTCAGTCACAAGCAGAAAAGAGGCATTAGCTACACATCCAACTGACTTACCTGCAGAGCACAGTGTAACATTTTCAACCTTTTTTTTGCCAGTTCTTAACTTTGAGTACCTAATTTGGTAATCTTTATGCCCTTTTAATACAAGGGTCTGGTTAATTTTTAAAATTAAAGCCTCTTAAAGGTTCCATGATTTAAAAATATGAACTGATAATTAATGAATTGATTTGCAGATTCCCCAAAAATGTAATTGCACCCGAGGAATAAACAGCTGTAAGATGGCTGAGGGCTAGATGCTGAGTTTTCTCATCCAAAGGTAAATGACTGAGTTGAAGCTTTAATGGCAATCTAGCACTCAGCCTTAACTACACCTACTACCTTAATTACAGCCTTCACTGCAGCCCTGAGTACCCACTGCTGCTGGAGCCTTTCGTTAGTGTCCCCCTGCCTCTCTTTGCTCTGTGATCCGCCGCTGTCGCTTTCTCTCTCGGAATGCCCGTGTCCTTCTCCTGAATTCCCTTTATCTATTTTGCTACTCCTCTGATCTTCCCCTTCATCTCAGCCCTTTGCTGCCCAGCATGGGTGGAAAGGAGAGGCAGCCTTTTGCTCTAGTCGGTAACTCCTGCCTCTGAAAACCAGCTTGGAGACAGTGATTAAGAGAGGGGAAGGAAGGACTCTAGAATTGAGCAACAGCAAAAACAGCCAGATGTGTGAGGATTTCTCTGCAGTTGTACAACATCCTATATCAAGGTAACTTCATGCCTTGAAGAATAAATATAATAATAAAATAAAATAATAATAAAAACAGAGGAAAGGAGATTTCTTGTTCCTCCCTCTCTGCAGAAACTCTGTGTCTGTCTGTGAGGCCTAAAGGATGGCACTCAAAGCAGCTTTTCTTCTTCCCCAAATAGTACCATCTTAAGGCATGGGACCAAGGGACTGAGGCATGGACACTCATCTTTACTGGGACTTGGGGACCCATCAGGCAGTGTAACACATGATTTGTCTCAATGTGGAGTCAGATCACACAGCTTTTCCTGTCCTTCTTGATCAACCAACCACTTCTCTGGCAAAGCAGTTACTGTGTGTTCCCAGATAAACCATATGTGCCCAATGGATTTTTGTGTGTGCGCACACTGTGTGTGTGCAGTGCAGGTCTCTCTAACCCATGTGAAAAAAACTAACAGGCACATCACATCTGCACTGAAGATATGGCCCTGGTTGTCTCAGATCTACTGCAGCTACACAAGATCTTGATGTGCACAGGTCAAGAACTACTTTTCTAGTTTCTCAGATGAAATTCAAAAAAGATACATCAAGAATATATACATTTCTTTCTGCATGCCTGACTTAACTGTCCCGAGCTGTCCTGGATTTCACCATTTTTCCTTTGTCTTATTTCCTCTGGTTTAAATCCCATGTAAATGCTCTAAGGTCCCCTAAGATCCTTAAGATTATTGTGTCCTAGAATCGCAGTTGTGAATGACCATTCAGAGAGCCCTTCCTGCCCTAGGGAGACTAGCCTTGGAAAATCCCCATCACCCTGGAAATAAACACTGCCAACATCAGTGCTTTTTTGCAGTGGCACCCGCAGGCAGCAACTCTTTCTTGATCTTGCTGAGCGATATATTTATTTGTTATCAAGGGCAGACTGGGGCTTTTGCTGCACAGAAATGTAGCAGAATGATGAGGAGGTGGCCTAGGGGAAGAGACAGGGAATGTTGCTCTTGACACATCTATATTGAATAATTAGTGATAAGAGCCAAAGAAATATTCATGACTCTGTAGAAAGATAAATAGATTTTTGATTAAATTTGAGTTTTGTCTTAACAGCAGTTGAAGTTGCTCTGTGATTGGTAGCATGGAAATGAGGTTTTTATGGATTCTGGCTGACTGGAGGATCCCTTTTAAAGCTGTTAGCCAAGATAATGCTGCAGATATCTAGCTAGTGTGTGCTGGCAAGAATTCAGAATGGCAATGCCAGAAACCTGTGCTCTCTGGGCAGTTGCAATGCAGCTGTTGAATGATTTAATCAATCCAGCTTGTTCAAAGGATTTATTATAACATTTTCTCCACCCAGACTCTTAGACTTTTGCAGAATTTCAGTGGTGCCTTTTAAGATCTATGGCACATTCCACTGCAGTTCAGCAGACTTCAGGAAGGAAAACATTCCAAGGGCATTTGCTAGTGGGACACATAAATACCTATGTACCTGTCTTGAGTTCTTCACAACACTTACATTCTTCTTTTCAAGGATGTTAGCACTTTCAAGGTGGTTGCACTGCTCAGCACCCACAATTAAGAGTTCTGAAATCCTTGTTGGGGTCATAATATACAAATAAAAATTCAGGAACACTCTGCAAATTGAGATACTGACTCTTCCAGTGCACTTCAGTGCCATTGCTATCCAAAAAGGATTGTGCTGAAGGATATTGCTGAACTGAACAGGATGCCATGCAGGATTTGAGAAGTCTGGCTAAAGTTTCTACGTCAGCCACAGGCACCACCTGTAGTAGCCATTTACTCTGTGTGTTCATGACTCACACTGAGGCAGCTGTACCTTGCAGAACCTAAAATACATGTGAGAGTAAGAAATTCAAACATGATAAGTGATGGGAGCTTGACAGTTACCTAGGATGTGTCTGCACTCCTTTTACCTCCCATATATTTTTCAAGCCTAGTGTGATGTACAGAACATGTTAGAACTGGCCTTTCTGAGGTGAGTAAGTTGGGCAGATATCCATGATCTATGCAAGTCCTGTACTCTTTTTGCTGCCATGCAGATTTTTTCCGAATTCCAGTTGCATTACTGTGTTCCCTACAGTTCCCACACTGCCCTCCTTCAGTGATCTGTGTAAGCAGTTCAGCAGTAGTGAGAGTTGTACTTGTCAGGCCTGGGCTGCAGTCCCAGTTGTGGTGCTGCTCCTTACTTGTGCTTTGTGTGTGCCTTAGGGATGGCCTGTACCCTCTACTCCACTGTTAGATATGAGAAAAAGACAACATCACTAGTCAAGCATTCTCCCAAGAATAATTTGTCTTCTAAAAGCTTGCAAAATCATGTGTTAGTCCAGTGTTGTGACTTTTTGTGGTTTAGACTTTGGGGGTTTGGAAAGAATAGGTGTAGTGCAGGTCTTGGTTTGCCATAAAGAGGCAAATTCACAGGAAACAATATATTTTGGAAGTTTGGGAACTTGTACATAACATTAAGCTATTCAGTTTCTCACTCTGGCTTCACTTTCTCTCTTGTAGTGTGAAAACTGCAGTGGCATTGCTGTTGCTTTAGTCAGAAGAGTAGACTCATGGTGAGCTTCTGGTCACCTTTTTCAAACAGGGCAGCTGCAGCTTTTAAAAATGTTAAGTAACCTTGTCCATGTTTCCATGGCTGTCAGTACAGAGGTACACAGAGAGCCTGGGTAGTCTGCCCCACCCACTAGACACAAGACTGTTCTTTCTGGTCTTCCAACGAGCAGCTCCATCCAGCTCTCTGAGGGGGGCTCTGGCTTTCATTAGCTGTTTTGACTCTTGAACCGAGGTTTTTAAAATGTAGTCTAAACTAAGGCACTACTGAGCAGCCAGACTGGTTAGAATACCTGTGAATAGCCCATCTCTTAAATGGGCCCAGGACTGGTATTGTATTAAATATTGGATAAAGTGGCTGAATTCCACTTTTTCTGAAATTTCTGAGGGATCAGCTGCATTTCTCTCTCCTCATGGAAGCTTTGCTGTCAGGGTAGCTGCACTCCCAAGTGTACCCTGAGTTTATTGTCATGCTCTGCCAAAAGCTGTGATACCAAATCAGGGCATTCTGTGCCCATGGGATGATATTTTGCCACAAGATAATGTAGTGTGTATGGAAATTCAATTAATGGGCTGTCTCACTGGGCATTAATATAGCATCCTAGCACAAAGCTAACCTCGCTGTGCTTCTGGTTTGCTCATTACTTTGTGAGACAGGTATTGCCCAGCCATGATCGCATTTGTCACAAGAAACACATGCACAAATGAAGACAGGCTCAGGGACTGCTGGGAGGTGTCAGTATAAACAATAGCATGATTTGCACATGGGTTTCAGACAGTTTGCATCCCTTTTACTTGTCAAGTTACTTTAATGAAGGCTATAAAATAAATAGCCATGGCTATAATCTTTAGGAATTAAAATTATTACCTGGCAAGTTGAAGTAATTAACTCTTCTCAGCCAGGAATCAAACAAGAGATATGTGGGTAGAAGGATGTGAAAAGAATATATTGACTCACCAGGTAATAGTGCTACTGTCCATCCTTTTTTGTTTTTTTAAAGAAAAAGAAAAGGCATGTTGCAATCATGTATTGGCAGCTTTTGTGACCATTGGTGTAAAAGAAAGTCATCTTAGCAGAAGAGACACCAGACGTGGTTTAGGGGTGCATCTGTCTTTTTTCCTGTAAAAGGCTTTGCAGTGTGGGCCCTCCTTTTAGTTAGATACAAGGCCAAGTTAAATGGTGGGATTAGAGAGCTGGAATTTTATACTCACAGAATGTGCTTCATCTTCCCTTCATTCCTTGTTTTTAAGAAATTCATAGCAGGGCCATAGAGTTGTAAATTATGCTAGTTCTTGACCATTTTCTGAGCTTGTTAGAAATATGCTGTTGTTGAGGTAAGGAAAAATGTGCTGGTTTGCACACTTGTATTCTGTATAAGCAAATCTATCATCATTCTGCTAAACAAAATGGAAATGCACATAACCATAAATGCCAGGCTGTTACATGCTTATTTGACTGTATTTTGTCTTTCAGATCACCACATTATGCTTGTCCTGAAGTCATCCGGGTAAGTTGGTTAATATTAGTGTACATAAATACCTTTTTTGAAGTATCCCTCATTACAAGTACACAGATAGATCCTCTGTACACAGAATCTGCCCAAGGCAGCGGGAAAGAAAAGGACACAAGAAACCTAAATAGAGTTTTGTTTGTTTAGGTCAGCCCTGAATCAAGCCACATTGGGAAATAATTGTATGTTATTCTCACAGTACCTTTGCACCATGTGATCGGGCAGAAGTACAGGACCCTGGCTTAATTTGATCTTTTGACCCAAGGGACATAGTCCCCTCAGCTTTCCTGTCTCTGATGTAGCTGTCATCTCAGTAGAAAAGCTGGGGTTGACTGTCAGTGATGTTGATTTCCACTAAACAGTATTTTTCCCCCTGCTTTCCCTTTGTCCTCTGAAAATAAGTATCCAAGATTTCAGTGCCCAGGATTGCCCTTTTCCAAAGCATGTCTGTACTGTAAAGTCAAACAGAAAGCACACAGGAGAGGCTGTCCAGACAATACTATGAGTTTTCAAATAACATGGCTGGTGACACGCTCCCTGAAAAACCAAGGCAGAGAAACACACCTTCTAGATGTCCTTAAGGCACCTGTTACTCTGTTTAAATGCCAGATCTGATAATTTGTGAGTTGTCAACCATTCCTGCCCTGCTCCCACTTCTGAGCCTTTCCTCACAGATCCCAGATAAGGCTGCAAGCTGATGTTCACAAAAATTCATTTAGCCGGCTGTGTAGTGGCTTCCTCCTAGCTGGGAAGGCCAACTTGGGAAGCAGGTAGCTGGACTAAATGTAGGGTTTCCCATTCTCCCCTCTCTCATTCCTCAAGGATAATTAATTCATTTTCTAGTGATCGGTCTTTTGAACCTCTGTGTCTTTACTGCACAGGGAGAAAAATATGATGGAAGGAAAGCAGACGTCTGGAGCTGCGGAGTCATTTTGTTTGCGTTGCTAGTGGTGAGTCATCTTCCTTGCACTAGCCTTTAAAAAGAAAAGAAGAATCTGAAAGTGCTGCTGTATTTAATGGCAATTCTATTGACATCATGTACGGATGGTTTTTTTTAGTCCTCTATTTTTGTATATCTCAGTGGCATCCTTTCCTCTTATTTCTACATCAGCCCCAAAGGAAAAGCATGAGGAATATTTCACTGCTTCTTTGAAACACTGTTGCCCTGCACAGAAGAGCATAGGCAGCCATCAAAAACTTGTCTTTGTGAATGCTCTTTGTTGTTTTGTGATGTTGCACCACGTTTTTTGATGGGTAAGGATATGTAGGGTTACAACTCCAGGATACAGAGTGTGTCAAACAAGTCGTCCTTCACGGGATCAAGATATGGCTGGGTTTGGGATGTATTCACTTTTTTCTGCTGTATGTATATGTGTGCTTCAGCGGTATATGCATACATTAACTGCAGTATTTTTTCAGGGAAGGACTTGAGAGCCTCATCTTTGTTTCATGAAAGCAGTGAGCTACATTTTAATTTGGTACACATGGGAATATAAAACTGAGCCAGTAGTACAAAGTTTAAATTAGTTTCCATCTGGCTCGGTAATACTTTAAGTGTTCAAAATGTGCCATCGTCTAACTTATCCTTCTTTTGATCAGAGTTTCAATTCTCTGTGGAATTTATTTTGAAATGAAGTTCTATTATAACATTCCTAAACATCCAACAAATGGATGTCCAGCTGAAGGCAGATAGGCTTGGCATTTGTTACCAATTTCCATAGTATAATGTAGGAAAATATAGTTTATGTTAATGCAAGCATATATCACGTGCAGGTAAAATAGTCTATATGAATATAGGTTTTATGTGCATGTTAAGTGCTTTATATCTATAATAGTTTATCTGATCATCTATAATTATAAAAGTAACAAGCCTGCAGTAAAATTGTGATATTTTTGTACATTTATCAGTAAACCTAATTGCTTCACTTAAATGTTTTATTTTGGAAAAAGCACTTGTACAGTGTAAAATGAGATAAATTCTGGATATTATTTTTGTTTAAATACTTTTAAATTTTAGAGTTTTTTTTATCAAAGGATATGCTGATTCTTTTTTAATGGTTCAAATCAGAATACCTTAAAGTAATCTCAGTATGATGCTTTAATTTCCCTTAAGCAATCTTACTCCTTTTTTCTTTTTAGTCATTACAATTCACTGACATTTTTGAAATTTTGATTTTTTTATCTTGATGTTGCATTGGAAGAATTTTAACTGTCACACCAAATAGCACCTGCTCATCTCTTACTGAGCAGTTACTTTCATAGCTGATAAAATAGAAGTATATAATGAGCTCTTAATATAATTTCTTGAATTCGTAAGAACAGAAGAGAGAATGTGTCAAGATGGTTAGGATTTGTCAAGCAGGCTTTTGATTTTCAGGGGGATTCTCTGTCAAGCTTGGGTGTCTGTTGCTGCATCTTCATCTGTTCCTACATACACACATGAGCCTGAAGAATTATTGAAATAAGTCAATCATTGATGGAAAGTGTAGAGCTCGCCAGTTAATTATGTCAGGACAGACCCTGTGAAAACTATCAAGATATGATAGCAGATGGTAGTAATAAAAGAGATGTAGTTGTTACCTTCAGGAAATGTCACACAGTGTCCTTTCTGACTTCATCAGGGCTTAAATTACATTAGCCAAAGTACTGAACTATCAGAATTGATTTTCCTTTAAGTCTGGAATGGATAGGAAAAATGCAGGTAACTCCGGGGGTTGGTTGCAGAAGGCAGGGAGAGGCTCTGCCTTCAAGGCCACTGGAATGAACAAACACCAGTAAGCAGTGCCCAGTCGTGGCTGCCATCAGGTGGCTTCCTGAGGCTGCTGTAAATGGAGCTGTTGTTCTCCCTAAACCATAGACACAGGATTGCTTATACAGATGCACTACTCACTGTAGTAAGAGCAGTGCCAGAGCTGACAACTTAAAACTTCATTATCACAGCAGCTGACAGCTTGCAACTTCCCACAAGCCATCCTGGAAATCAAGGAAACTCGGCACCTACTAGAATTAGGCAGTGAAAGAAGGAAGTGAGAATATCTAGGAAGGTGCAGACTTGTTATAAAAGGGTATCAGCTGCAGTCAGTAGAGTTATCCTAAAGATTTCGACTTCTCTTTTTCCTTTTTGTCCTTGCAGCAAGGATAGGTCTTTTACTGCTTTTTGTGGCAAGCTGATGATCTATTCAAAATGTAGTTTCAGCTAAAAAAACTTCAAGCCATTCATGTAAGTGAGCTACAGTAGGGAAGCAATAGGAACTGATGACCTGACCACAGCATGGGAACTTGATGGAGTATATTAAACAGGTGGAATGTCTGCTGCTTCCAAAGGCTAATGTTGGTTGGGGTTTCTTTCAGCTGTGTCATTTTAATGCTCTGTCAGAAAGAGCATGTTCTTTACTGAAAGTCTCTCAAAAGCTGTTCACCTCCTTTTCAATGTCTGCAATAAATGTGTCTCAGAAAGATTAAAAATAAGGAGAACGATAAACATTGCTGGTGTGAAAGTATGCCCAGGAGGAATACCAGCAGATCAAAAGCTTGAACTGAATTTAAGTGAATCCACGCATCTTTGGTGAATTTGCCTGGAAAGGCAATTTCATATTTTATATTTTACTTTATACTGGTAGTCATTTTCTAATTAAAGGTCTAATAGAAAAAACAATGTCCTCAGTTTTGTCTCCTATGTTAGAGGAAATACAGCAGCACTAAGACATTTTGTCTTTTCAATGGATAAAAAGTTTTTTCACTCATAATAATGTATTATGAGCTGACTTCGTCCTTTCCATTCTCTCACCTGCTTATCCTGGCTTTTCTCCTTTGGCCGTCTCCAGTTCTCTCCCACTGACTGCTCTGTCCCATTCCTGCAGGGTGCCCTGCCTTTCGATGACGACAACTTGCGGCAACTGCTGGAGAAGGTGAAGCGTGGAGTGTTCCACATGCCCCATTTTATCCCCCCGGACTGTCAGAACCTTTTGCGGGGGATGATTGAAGTGGATGCCTCGAAACGTCTCACGGTAAGGAGGCTTCTTGAGCAAGGCTTCATTTCTCGCTTTGTTGCAGGAATGGTTGAGCAGCGACGGTAACTTGGTGATTTGGTGCCATTCCAATGTGTTTCCTCCTGAGCCAAGGAGTGGAGTTGGTGGGGTCTTTGGGAAGAAGTTAGTTACCGTCTCTTTTGAGTCTTGAGGACAGATTGCTTTTGTGTTTTTTCTGTAGCTTCCTGATTCCTTTTCATATATAACACTAAGCATTTAGGAGAAATCCCTCATAGCTTATCACAGAACTACTGGCTCATTCACACCTTTTCAGTCCACCTGAGCTGTCTGATTCTTCTGTCTGATACGGCAGTTTGCTGGGGGCATGATGCAAGTGTTTTAAGGTCACAGGTGTTAGTACTGGTATTTGAAGCTTTGCCATTAAACAGAGTGTGATTTTCTTACATTTCTGACAGAAGTGTTGGCTCCTCACTTCAGGCCACATAAGCTGCATTGTATTCTATCCTGCATTTGCTCTGCATTATCCTTTAGCAGCCTTCAGAGCAAGTGTCTGCCAGTCTGCTCTTTCATCCTGTGCCCTGTGGTCCTGAGCACTTAGTCCCACAGTGTTGAGCTCCTGGCATTCAGCTCTGAGTCTGCATCTAGGATACATCCCATCACTACAACAGAAACTCTGCAAGAGTGAGGACTGTGAAGTGATTGTATCCTTTACTGACGCTGTGTTAATGTTTTAGGGAATTAAAAAACATTGGCAATTCAAATAATAATTTTGGAAAGTAAGATTGCCTGCTTGTCAGTGGAGGCGTGTGCCTTTATGGGTAGATTGCCCCTGTAAATCCTATTGTCAGGCCTTGGTGATGATTTTATACAGATTTACTAAGCTCACAGATTCTGAGTGGGAGTATGTATAAAGAAATGTAAATTTAAAATTCCTCCTGGTTCTTCAGTCTGCTAAAATATTTATAAATAAACTCTCAGATCACTGGTTGGCCTCTGTGCTGAGATTGGTAACAACAGCATCAGTCTGTGCCAGCTGTGACGATGCTTTTGGGATGCAGGCACCTCTCTTCTAAGAAGTTAACTGAAACTCCCTTCACAACTCCCTAAAATAGTACCTGACATCTGGGTTTTTCTTGCATTCATTACCAGTCCAGGTCATGCTCTATTTGGTGGCATAGGGGAAAAGTTTATGTTATTTCTAGTATTTTGCAAACCCAGTAGCCATCACATTTTGCAGTACATAAATAGCACAGATTGAAAAAATATATATTAGGCACCTTAAAAGACCTTTTTAAAACAGATTTTTAAAGAAAGGAATAACATTTTCACAAGTATATTCACAGAAAGAACACTGCAGAGGTTAGAGCAATATCCTGAGAGATGAGACAGCTGTTCTTCATGGCCAAGAAAGTCACAAAGTCCCTCTCAAGCTTAGCTTCCTTTCCATGATGTAAACATACCAGCTTCTCTCTTGTTTTGTTGGGGTTTTTTTCTCAAAAAAGTGCCAGTGGTCTAAGTATGTTAGGGAGCAGGTCATCAAGTGCTAGATCCTTCTTCAGATTGTTCTGAATTTTTCCACAGGGCAGAAAATAATAAATAGTAACCCTAAATAATTTGAGTTGTGCAATACAGCTGGGAATGTACATGCATAGGAGAGAAAGCAGTTGAGGTAATTCAAGGTCTCAGAGTGACACTCATCCCCCTCCCTTTCTTGATCAAAATTAACCTCTTACTTCCTTAGGGAGGGAAAAAAACCCAGATCAGGTAGTTATTGCCACACACTAACCATTGAATTATGAATAAGAATTTGAAATAATACATATTAAAGAGCTGAGAGCTGGGAGGAAGAAAGGTTGGCTCTTTGTTATTAGCTGCAGTCTTTTTGTCATTATTTGGGGGTCTGTGGGTTTGCTGTCCCTGCTGCTGTCACACTCCTGTGCTGTTAGTGAGCTGCTTGCTTTGACTGCCAGGCAGAAGGGAGCTCTTTGTTTACTGCACAGGAGCTGGGAATATAGAGTTCATTCTGAGGAGAGAGCTGAATTCTATTTTAGCTGTGTCCTATGAAAAAGGGTGTAAACATGGGTTTATTTGGAAGCCTCTATTCCTAGAAAATATCTCACTTGAATCAATTTGATATTTATACAAAGATGTGAGCAAAATTGCAGCTTGGGTACAATAAGCACAGATGTAGCTGTTGCCGTTACTGATCGTTTGCTCAATACCTCACTAGTGAATTCAGCAGAAAAATATTGTGAAATGTAAGGTGGCTAGAATTTTTTTCTTTCATTTTTCACTTCCTCTCTCTGCTTTGTTCCTCTTTTTTTGATTTGTATCTCTTTTCATCCAACTGCATTTCCCTCCCTGCAGTAATTGCCATTTCACAGCACACCCACATCTTCCCCAGTCCATCTGTTAAAATGATCAACAAAAACAGAACCAGCATTCACATTTAACTGTCATCATTTGCTTCAGTGTTGGAGCTTGAGAAGATTAATGGAGGGGAGGGTACTCACAATTATTGTTGCTGGCCCTTTCCAGCCTTAAGAAGCAGGCATTACCTTTCTTTGTATATGATTCATTTGTGGGAGCAAGACTTTATTATTTCTTAGTGGAATATTGTTCACACTCACCATGTGTTAAATAGCTTCAAATATGGTTAATGGGACATCCTTGACCACTCTCATTTACTCTGCCTGTTTTACTAAACATGCTGTAAAATAAAAGAATTTGTGTTTTTCTTTGATTAAACATAAACTTTTCATTAAAAGTTGATCCTAGCTCCTGGTGATGGTGTGTCTGACCACCCATATTTATGAAAGGTGAAGTCAAACAAAGAATGAGTACTAAGATGATCAGCATTTGAAAGAGCCTGTCTGAATAGTATGGCATAAAAAGAGCTTCAGTTAATGTACACAGATAATGTTTAAGAAAGGTTGTACTGGTCATCTGCATATTCATTAGAGGTAATTACTAGGGAGAGAAGGATTATTTAAGCTAAAGGAAGATACTGGCATAAAACCAAAGATATGTCAAATGGCTTTAAAGGAAAGTGGGCTAGAAGCAAGAAGAATTTTAGGTATATCCATGGGGTTCTGGGACAACCTTCTAGTAGGAATAGTGTCAGGAGGGAAAAGTGAAGTAGTAATAAAGTTTGAGAAGGCTTAAGGGAGGTGTGCTCTGGGTGCCTAAACTACTGCAGGATGAGGTTTCTTGTAGTTATGTGCTCTTCAAATGATTCAGTCTTGCTACAGCAGAGAATTACAGCTCCTGTAGTAGAAACCAGTTGTACTCTCAGCCAGTGTTTTCTTCTCCAGGAAGACAAAGGGCAGAGGCACTTTTCTTTTAAAGATGGATTAGCACTATTGAAAATTTGTTTCTAGAGCAAGGTAGATCAGAGCAGATATTGCAGAATAAGCTATTCCAATAAAGCTGTTACATTGACATCTTATACTAGAGTAGAATGACTTGTTTTCTATGCTGGGTGTACACATAGGTGAAAATACCTATCCCTGAATATTACCTAAAAATTCCTTTAATTGCACCTAGTTTCAGAATCTTCGCTCTGCTTTCTGATTTTGTTTTTTCTTGGATCTGATGCTAATCATGCTGTGCAGAATCTAAAGAATATTAAGAAATTAAGAAGGGAAAGCTCACCTGATTCATTTCTGTAGAAGGCCTTATGGTTAGGTGCCTATTCCATAATTTAAATTTTCTCACTTTACAACCTGTAGAATGGAGGCAATTGACCAGTTGATGTGTTTAGGCTGCCAAGGGCCTGTTCATGCCCCGTAGACATAGGACAGTGATACTTGCCCACGTCAAGGTCCCTGGAGGCTGCTTTATTACAGCTGCTACTGCTGAAATGGGTAATGGTTTTACCAGTGCTGTTTGCACTGCCAGCCTGAACGCTGTGGCCAAGAAAAGCCACAGGGTTTTTGTGTCTTGACATTGCACAGTAGGTTTAAAGCTCAGACTAGGGGTCTTCTGGATGAAGAAGATTCATTTGAGGTGTGGCTGCACAGATGGGTTTGAGGCTGGTCTCCTTCCGGACAGGGAAATTTGAAATTTGACATGAGTTCAAGTTCAGAAGCCCTCATCTATATCTACAGACTTTAAGAAAGTTTTTCTTCAGGGCAGAACTTCTTAGCTTGGCAACTACTCTGCTGAGATCAGTGCCGAGGATGTAGACAGCGCTGTCTTGTTTTCCATCTGCCTGTCTGTCTCCATCTGTTGTTCCCTGCCTTAGAATTCAGACGTAAGCTCTTTGTGGGAGGAGACCTCTTTTACTGATGAGCTTGTGCAGCTCTGTATCACAGTGGGTCTCTCATCTGTAAGAGAGGCTCCTCCGTGCTTCTTCAGTTTACAGGTTTAGTATTTGGAAGTATTTTTACGTAAAACCATGATAAAGGAATTCTCCCTCTCCTTCCATAACAGCATCTTAGCCTGCAGAATCACTCTGACTGTGCATGTGCAGTGGATCTGAGCATGTTTTGTTATTTCGGAGATGATGTCATGAGACAGTTGCGTGCAGTGACTAGGAGGCATTAGGAAGCAGCATTTTTGCAGCTTCCATAAAATAGTATTAAACTGGGCAAACTCATGTGCAAACAGTAAGAAAAACCCTCTGGGAAGGGTTGTTAAATGCCTTTGTCACTTAAACGCATTTAAGCATTGTGTTTAAATGAAGGCAGGAGTGAGATTAGCTCCCACTGTGTATCTCCCTCCCCTGCACTGCACAGTAGGAAGCATACAGACTTCTCCTTGTCAAAACCAATCGCCCTCCCATAACCCTCCTGTCACTTCAATGCAGACAAAAAGCAACAAAGCATTAATTAATCACCTTTAAAACGGTAGTGAAGATGTTGGCAGCAGCAAGCGCACTTCTAATAACATTTCAATGCAATTACATTTGAATCAGCGTAGGAAATTGGTTTGTAGAATACTTTTCATATCTGGGATATCTCAGCATATTTCACAGCAATGGTTTTGATATGGATTGAGTGGCAGATGTGTGGGTAAACAGCAGCCATGAGAGCTGTCATACAGCTTCAGATGTGTACCAAGGTGCAATGGGGCATCTCTTTCAGAAAAATGCTGTGTGTTCATTAGTTTGAAGGAGGTTGATCAGCAGGGGTGGGCAGGAGTCATTTGACATCTTCTCTGAAGCAGCCCAGAGGCTCTGTGACTAAGACATGGACTGGTGACCCTCTTTTCTTTCCCCTCTCTAGCTCAGAAACTGAAGTGCTGTTTTCTGCTTTGCCATGGTGTTTCTGCATATCACAGGCACACAGAAGCACAGTGTCCCATGGAGACAAAAAATGCAGCAGGAAAAGCAAGCATGAAAGAGACTTGGACATTGCATAGCTGTATCATCTGCATCTTGTCTGAAATCATTAATCTCTCTAACCCTCCATGTGGTGTATGGGAAATAATGAGTAGATGTGGTTTTACCAGCACAGGAGGCGCAGTTCACCCCTTAGCAGATCCTCACAGAACTATACATCTGTTAAGGAACAATTCTAAAATCCTGCCCCATGGAAGCTGTACAAAACAGGCTCTCCTTATGTTCTGTGATTGAACCTCAGCTTGCACAGAACCAGAAGGAAGAGGGCTGTGTCTCCAGGCTGTTGGGGGAACTCCCAAATCATGTCTTCATCTCCACAGGAGGTGACAGTGTGTCAGGAATACTCCACTTTGCTCTTAAGAGAGCAGGGGTTAGAGGACTGCCTAATGCAGGGGACTGTGATGAAGGGGAGTTACTGTGGCAGGCTGGTGCCACGGCTGGGAGCTGTGCCAATCTGCCTGGGCTGCTGGATGTGTGTGCTGGGGGCATTGGTGCTGCTTAGACAGATATGTGAGTGCCAGCTGCACCTCTGGTTGCAGTGTTGATGCAGTCTGGGGTTTAGAGGAGGCTGTTTGTTTCCCACACTGTTCCCTCTAGCCGCCTGTCATGCTTTCCTAAGCTGCATTCCATTGTTTCTTTGTTTTCAGGAAAAGCCCCGACTCACTTAAAAAAATGATCTCATATATAGCCAAACTCATGTCTTACTGTTTTCTCAGACACGGAGCTGTTCCATAGCACAAAGGTCTCTGATTCCTTGGTCTCTGAGGCAAACACTTTGAGATTTTGTTGTTTGTCTGTTCCTATCCTTTTCTTTTTGTTTCTTTTTCTCTCTGATTCTAATTATTGTGGAAGTGGAGTGTAATAAGAGCTGGACATCTGTCACCATTCTTCCTGACCATTGTAATTGGTCTGTGATTTCCTCTCATATGAGTTTTCTTCCAGCTCCCTCCTGTCTTTCCCCTGAAAGTTGCACAAATGTGAGCCCATGTGCAGTGAGTATGCATTTTGTTCTGCACCTACAAAGGTGCTGCATAATAATGAATATTAAAAAAATTCCCACATAACAAATAATCCCTGGACATCTAAGAAAAGTTATTTTCTGCTGTGATGATTAAAACAAAACATATTTGGAAGGTTCTGCTGAATGTACGTCATATGAACCTTCTGTTCTGTCTGTTGTTAAGGGTTTCTCTTGGAAAAATCATATTGCCTTCTTCTCCTGTGCTAGTGGGAAAAGATATCATTGTAATGTTGGTGGAATCTGCCTTCCATAGGTGGTCATGGCTACTTTCAGCTTTAATCAGTCCTTCATTGCATAGTGAAATTCTCATGTGTAGAACAGGAAAGAGGGAAGTAAAACAAATTCATGGTATCGTCTTCAGGTGCAGATTAGTAAATTGCATAGAGCCTTTTTCTGCTTGGTCCTTAGAGTTCAGTGATAAATGTGAAGTCAGTCTAGAATGTGTCCTGTATCCAGGAAGGTCATGCCACAGATGCACAAATTATTTTGTTAACTATCTGTTTGAACCTATTTTCTTCTTTCTTCCTCTCTCTTTTCCCCCAAAACAAAACTAGAAATGCAATTCAAGTATAAAGAATCAGCTATTATGCACATACAAAAAGGAGCAGTTGGATTACAGAGGGAAGGACTTGGAAGGGAAAAGCTTGAATTTCCAAAACAGTTACCTGTGAAGCTTTGCACTTAGCATTTGCCTGGGACTTGCTCCTGACTGATGAATTATGTCTGGAATTACAGTGCCATTTCCAGTGGGATGGGTATTTATTCCAGTAGGATGAGCAGCTCTTTATGCAGCATAAAGTTTCTGTTGTATGCATATGTCCATCTCTGAAATTTTGAATTTACTTGAATAAGCCTTGAATAAGGATGACTTGTAGAGTTACCTTTTCTATTTTACAGCACTAATTCCTTGTTTTCTTTTCCTTTACAGCTAGAACATATTCAGAAACACATATGGTATATGTAAGTAACTTTTTAAAAATTTTTTTGCATACGTTCATTGTTGATTCTGGTATTCTAGTGTTCTGTGAAGAAACCACTGGAAGAGTGAGACTGGAGTTTGAAAGCAGGTTTCACATATGTGAGAAAAAGAGGCAGAGAACAGAAAAACATCTTATTTTTTATTTTTCTACCCTTTGCTACTCATATAATTGCATTTATATGTACCAACCCAGGAACGTTTTTTGTACAATGGCTAACAACTGTTTAAAATAAGACATTCAGTCCAGCAACTTGCTGTGTTAAAGAGATACCTGCAGGTGATCAGCAAAAAAATACCCAACTAGCAACCATATTTAGTTTGCTATTCAAGTGCTACAGACAATCCCTTGTAATACCTTCTTGACAAGAAAGCTTTCATTTGTTCCTTCTTGGCATCTTGGCTTTTCTCTGAAGTAGAAACAAAAATGATGATATTGATAAGTAAGCACCTGTGACCAAGAGCTTCTCTGTCTCATAATCCCACTCCTTTTTCATAGCAAGCTATGAGGCTGTTTCTGACCTTGTAACCTGTTGATGTGAGAGTACTTCTGTGACTTGATTAAAAACAGCAGTCCTGACAGTGAAACAGGAGGTCTGTGAGAAAAGTACATACTTGTCTGGTGGTTTGGGTGTAAGGAAGATTGATGGCTTTTAAAAGTGACCTTGCTCTTTGTGTAGCCTTAGTAGTATTTCAAGAAGCCTAAGTAAATAAACTTTTTCTACTATGATATCCTAATCAAATTAAGGAGAATATTTCACATAATAAACAAGGAAATTATGCTTGGATACATTTCCCAGGTGGGTGATAAGGAAAGTCCTACCTTCATAATCCTGTCATTACTCTTGAGAAGTACTCGAGGATGATGTGAACTGATATATAAGCCTGTCACCATGAAAAAAAAAAAAACACTTTTTCTTTATTTGTTTTGTTTTCTCTAATTCTATTTTATGGGCCATGTTCACCTCTAGATTTATATGACTTCAGTAGGACCTGAGGGGGTTTTGTTGAATAGTTAAGAAAAAAATTGGAACTACAAAAACCTTAGTTTACCTGAAATAGTGGCAGCACTCTGCCCATGGCTTTTCCATGTTCTCTTCAGTTACCAGACATGTCACCTTTTTAAACCAAAGAAGTACTGGAGGTTTCCTACACATACTTTTTTTATTTTTTTTAAACTCTCATGGGTAAATATAGAACAAATGGAGTGGGGAAATCTCTAATTGTAATCTCTAAAATCCCTCCTTTAAGGTCTTGCTAGCAGTTGCAGAAGTAAATGGTGTTTACATCAGATTGCACAGATAATTCCCTCTCTTTCTTCATGGAGTGAAATCAGCTGACACTCTCCAGGCTTTTATCGGAACTGGAAATTAAAGGAAAAGTCATTGATCATGTGTATTGTTATTTTTATCCTCCTCAAGATTTTTGCCTGGAACTTTTCACTTGTTGAAGGACTGTTGTCCCAGGCTCACATATGCAGTTGTGCAGGTGTGCATTACGTTAGTCTATATTTAGAATTTGAAAATTTTTTTCCTTTGGAGACATAAACATTTGAACACTTGCATGTACTTCTCAATGAAGGTCAGACTCTTTGATAATTGACTCAGTAAACAGCATCTGAGGCTGTTTTCAGAAGTAGAAAGTGGATTTTGCAAAAGCAAGTCTCCTCTGGACTCCCGGGGTAGTCAGTGCAGAAAGGCTCTTCCAGATGTCTCTTCAGATTGCCTAAAAAGAAGTTTCTGCTCAAAATAGCTTTTTTAATGAGTCTCTTTCTCATTTTCTCTGTACTGGCCATGGGTTGACCTCAGGAGGTTAACATCCTGTGGCTAATTTTAGTCAGTGAATAACCTTGCCGTCTCCAAAACTCAACTGCTTTCATCTGGTAATGTTTCACAACCTCTTTGCATTTATTTTGCCTGAAAATACTCATGCTGACAGAGAAGGGACTGTAGTGTTCTATCCTATGGCTGTTTTGCTCACCCCTTAAATTTTTTTCTTTATTTTATCTACTATTCTATGTAAAATCTTCATCCTTTGTCCTCTATAGGTTACTGACCTGAAAGTTGTACTCAGAACATTGAAGCGGTTTCACTTGATTCTTCAAATAAATGTTGAGGCTACTATAAAACTGAAGAAAAGATTTAATTGCAGATTTAGGCAGGCAGAGAAACAGGTCTTGAAAGTTGAAATCATGATTCACAAGGCTAAAAAAGGAAGAAAGAAACCTAAGTGAAACCTTTCCTCAGCAACCTCCAGTCCTTGCTCTCCCACCCAAATTAATTCAGTGAGGTTTTTCAAGCCTTTTTAATTGAAATAATTTATTTTTACCTCAAATGCAGGTTATCATAAACCAGAAAATAAACAGCAGTTATTTTCACATTTTTTAATAAAGTAAGAGGGTAAATAAAATTACCTATTATGGTAAATACCACCACTCCTGTAATGTTGAGTATATTGCCTTAATTGTGAAGGTACCAGCTTGCTAAATCAAGAAAAAGAATAAAGGTACTGGTTCTGCTTTGCTTTGCACTGATGCAAATGGGCATCTCGGTGAAATTCATGAGAGAATTTCATGGAGAGACTGAAAAAGTCCACCTTGATCAGGAATCACAGCCATTGTATCCACCAATCCTCACAAAAGAGGGTGGGTTCTAAAGCAGCAATTACATTCATGTGGGCCTTTAAAAAAATATATGTGATTTGCAGTAGTCACTGTGTGACATTGTTTGATGTCTGTGTGGGCTGCAATGCAACAAATTTGTCACTCTGCTAGACTGAGAATGGAACAGGCATTGCAGTCATGCCAATCACAGCCCAGACCCGGTGATTTTCGTTTCCTGAAGCTCTGAATTGCGCTGCCAAATGACAAGACGCCTCTTTGCAGATTCTACTTGTACCTGATGAGGCGGTGTGAAAATTCCTGACTGTGTCTGAGGCTGACCAGGTGCAGGGCGTAAGGAAATGCCACCCTGGAGTGCAGGGAGGATGGCAAGCTGTGCTCTCTAGAAACGGCTCCTGTGCTGACTGATACTAAAGAAAATTGTATATTCTATTCAGACAAGGGCAGCTAGTGGGAAACCCAGGTTTCCTGGAAATTTTCAAAGACAATAATTCTTTTTAATCTCTTTTAATTACCTTAAGGACATCTGCTTGTAACACGAATGATTAATTAAGTCAATACTTTTCAGAAGTGAACTGTAGATCATTAAAAAGCAAAAACACTCAGCTGCTGTTCAAAGGTCTATCCTGCAAGAATTTATCTTAATGACAAGCTCATAACTGGATTTAATAGTGCAAGGTTATGAACTGATCATTGCTTATTACCTTCTGAGAGCTAGATCTTAATTTTAAGAGGTAGGAGTAGTAACCTCTTGGAAGGAATAAGATGTTTCTTTAGTTGAACAAGGATTTTTGAGTTTAGCCCTTAGATTCAGGACCATGGTAGCATTGCAGAGTCTCACTTCTGCAAGACTCAAAGGAGCCATCAGAAGCTGTGTTTTAGTGGTTTAACACACAAGAACAAATCCCAAGTAGCAGCAGATTTTATGTCCTCCGTGTTTACTTGCAGTCCCCTAAATTGAGTAAAACTGAAAGGGTATGTGTTAGTGCTCCTCGTAAGAGAGGTGGGACCCTGACCCATGTTGTCATGACCCATGTAATGAATACCAGAGTCTGACTCCATGACATCCAGGTAGGGCTGAGCACATTCTCACTGCTTCAGAAGAAGATAAAATGAACATTTCTGAGGAGACTTTTTGCAAGTGATGTCCCACAAACAGAACAGATGCCTCACAACTGCATTTCTTGCTTAAAAATGAATTGCAAGTAGCACTCAGCAATCTCCTGTGGTGGTCCCAGCATGTGACTGTCCTATTCTGGATACATTGACTTAGAATTGCTTTCTTACCTTGGAGGATATAACCTGCATTGGCTCTTTTTAAAGTGTATGGTCTCTCTTTTTGGTACACTGGCTGAGACCTTGGGCTCATGTATATGAACTTATCAGAGCTGATTTCTAACTTACACAAGAAAAACTAAGGACATTTGGATTGGAGCTCCTTTTTCTGTGTAGATACTTGGATAGCTTACATTGAGTCAGAACATTTTAAACTGTGTGAGCAAATTCACAAGTTGTGGCCACCTTATTTTTTCCAGCATCAAAAAGAAGGATCTCTTCTAGTCCAAACACAGCCCCTACAAACAGCAAATGGTGACAGTTGAAATATTCCTGATTGCTGTTGTCCATGCTGGGAGCTTGGACACAGCAGTCACACATTTGAACCACATAAAGGAAGGGGAGGACCCCACTCACAGAGCAGGGAAACTTCAACATTGCATGAAGCAGCTATTGAGAAATAGCAGAGGTTCAGAGTAGACAATTTCTCCAAACAAAACACAGACACCTCCACCAAACCCACCTCTTTGAGTGGATAGAGTTTACATTAATTGCTCACTGCCTTCCAAAATAAAATCAAAGGATATTCAGGATGTCTGCAATACATATCATTAGTCAGTTAGATATACCCTGACACCTTGACCTGTTTCTTGCAGTCATGGCCTTTAATTGCAATGAATAATCAATATTTTCTGAGCCTAGTGAATGGGGTGAGATAATTGTGCAGAAAGCCTGTGTTAACTACATTTGAAAGAGTAATATGTTCTACTGCTAATGGTGTGTTCTGAGGTCTGCCACTGACCTCGGGCATTGTACTTGAGCCAAAATTTTCAAATTTGCATGTCTTAAGAGAAGCAGAGATTGTCATGTTTGGGTGTGTAATTAAGCAGCATAGTTTTCCCCCAAAGCCCTTTAAAGTGTGTCAAGTGGGAGCCTGAGCATGAGGTCTCTTAATCACATTGGAAGTGTTAACGAAAGAAACTGCTGCAGTGCCGGTCATAATCAGAATTGGTGAAAAAGAGTGATGGTTTGTTCAGAGCTCCTTCTTTGAAAGGGAATCATTCAGCTTGTACTTTTCAGCCTGATAGTCTGAGGTCTGGCCAGCTGATGAGACAAAATCTCTGAAAACATGTAGTGTTTTATAAATGTTTGGCATTAGGATGCTGAACAGCTGCTTCTATTACAAGGGCATTGGTAAGTGAAGTTCCTGTTGCCTCGCTGGCTGAACACAGACATTTCTCATTAAAGACCCAAATCCACAACCTGCTGGTCAGTCTTAGCCTTCGTGACAGTTTCTTATGAGAATAATATCTGTCTGGTTGGAAGCTCTGGTCTCTCAGTGGGAATTTAGCAAGCTGTTTCCATCTGTTGCTGCAGGCTGTGTTTCAGAGTATGGGTTCATTTGTGACTCATGTTTCTTTTCTCTCCTTTCCCTCCCCCTTTCTCTCTCTCATCTTCTTTCCTCTGCAGAGGGGGTAAGAATGAGCCAGAACCAGAGCAACCAATCCCTCGAAAGGTGCAGATTCGTTCTCTGCCTTCCTTGGAGGATATTGATCCAGACGTGTTAGATAGCATGCACTCGTTAGGCTGCTTCCGTGACCGAAATAAACTCTTACAGGACTTGTTGTCGGAAGAGTAAGCACTTGCTCAGTCTTCATATCAGTTGGGTGTCCAGGGGCTGGGATGCTTATGAACCTGGGGAGAGGCAGAGAGCACTTTTAACTGATGTCTCTCTCTCTGAGTGACTGGTAAGAACTTCTCACCCTCTGGCAGTTCATTTGCTGGTGAGGTGATGGGAGCGAGCACTGAGCCTTTCTTGCTCCACGGGTCAGAAGCTCACAGCCTGACCAGCAATGCAGCCACTGTGCTATTTCTTCCCTAGCTGCCAAGCCAGGTCACTTCATGAGAACATGGGCTGCACAGTCCACATGGGGAGGTATCATTGCTGATGTTTGTGTTGGATATGCTTTTGTTTCCAAATTTTTATTTATTTCAAACCTATGCCTGAGTCCTGAGGTGTTAAGAGGGACAGGTGGTAGAAAGAGCACTTAGAGGCTCAGGAGACCTGTGTGGCTGCCACTCTTGGTTTGGACTTCCTGGGGACACATAACCTTGACTGTCTGTGCCTCTGTTCTGGGTTGTGGAATATGGGAATCTTATTTCCTTTCCTTTCCTCACTAGCTGCTTGTTGGAGACAGCAAGGGTCTGAAAAGCTTTCTGGGTTGTGTATCTAGCTGTCATGTACATGTTATGACCACTTCCAGCTCATTTAGAGTCACTGTGACTGTTTATTTGATGAGAAAGTTTTATGTACATGTTGACCTTTTTTTTCTTCTCAAATGTAAAAGGGTTTTTTTCTTCCTTTTTTCAGAGAAAACCAAGAAAAAATGATTTATTTTCTTCTGCTTGACCGGAAGGAGAGGTATCCTAGTCATGAAGATGAGGATCTTCCCCCTAGAAATGAAATAGGTACTGCAGATATGACCTTAGTCACCATAAACCTGTCTGAACTAGTTCCTCTTCACTTTTTTCTTTTTTAGATTCTTATTTTATTTTAATTTAAACCCAAACCCTAGCATCGCTGTTACCTTCCCACTGAAATGGTGTACTCAGCACTGGTGAGAATCCTCAGCCTGGGGCAGGCAGGTCTGTTCTGTAGTTAAACTAGAAGGCTTCATCTTTCAAGACATGCCTGTCTCACAGAACAGAAACATCCAAGTAGGTCTTGAATGAGATCTTAAAAAATGAGCTGTGAACGCACAGGCTGACTCTATGCAGGCAGATGAAATTTAGCAATATAATCTAGTGGCAGAATTTTCTAATTACAAGTCTCAGTGTGGTGTTGCAGAAGGCTGCTCACGGACTTCAGTTAGTAAGAAACTGTATAGCTGCATCCCTCTGCAGTTATATATGTGCACATTCTCTTCTCTTTAAGTGAATACATGCACTGCTGAAAGTATGAATCATATAACTTAGCTGTTTTATAGTACATAAATCAAACTCCCATGTTTTTAGACTTAGAAAGATTTTAAAAGCTTAATTCACAATAAGATTACATACCTTACAAAGCTCTTGTGATACCACTTTATTCCTATTTATTCATTGGTTTTTTAGGATGCTGCTCATCACCACTAATCCAGACAACAGGAAAACTGCTTTCCAAGGAGCTAACTATATAAGGGAGTCTTGATGTGCAGACAAGTTTAATAAAGGATTAGTCACTTCTAGCAATTATCTGAAACAGAATTTTGCATAGAAGTGTGGAGATTTTCAGGTATTGTACTCGAGCACTTTGAAGACTAGAAGCAAAGTGCCCTTTATTTTCACTGGAAGGCCTGGAATCTCATGAGCTTTCAGGGCAGTGCTATATTGCACAGCATTTGCTAATGCTTCATTAAATTATTAACCTATCCAAGTTCCAGGCTCCAGGCCCTATAATTTTGCAGGGAAATCTCTTCTACAGGAGAAGAGATGAAAGTTCTTAGTTAACACAGCAATTTTAAACTCCTACCTGGATGGAGCTACAGAGAGCATGTTAGCAGTGATCCTGATGAAGATGGGTAGCTGTGCCAGCTGCAGGTCCTGTGGTCAAAAGCCCCTTGTTCAGTGCAGTTTGTCATCTAGCACTCTGCTAATCAGCTTTTGACTCAAACAGATTATCCTGCCATGTAAGGACAGCATCATCTTGTTTTAGAAATGCTTTTGTCACAAGAAGAGAAACAAGGTGACTCTAGAATCTTCAGACCTAGCATGTAAGTGAATATGTAGCTATGCCCTAAATGCGTTACATACCTCTTCTACATGCCAGAGTATTTTCATGGTTTGAACTGAAATATTATGGTCCACTCTTGTATTTTTTTGTGCAGGGAGTGAAAATGTTTCCTAACAGGGAAACACTGACTGTATCTATGTGCCTCACTCACACATTTGAGCATTATTCTTTGAGTGTTTGTATTTCCTCTTCCACAGGGGGTTTCCACATCCTCTGTTCCCAGCGGTATCTCTGAGAACATGGGGCAAGGTTTAATTAGGAGCAGTCATGTGTCTGATGAATATCTCATCATTAGCCATTAGCAATGGCCTTGCACAAACAAAGAAAAGCAGAGAACAGGTAACAGTTTAATAATAGCAGTTTGAAGGAACCATGTTCATGAGAGTTGTGTATTGTGTGAGCTCTTGCCAAAAAAAATAAAAAGCATCTGAGAGTATTTTGCTTTTTCATCTTTGTTGGCATATTAAGTCTCAGAAAGAATGGATACAGGTAAAAATATGGCAAGCTACAGATTGCCCTTTCTTCTGGTGTCCCTTTGTCTGTTTCAGCTGTATGGAGTTTCTTCCAAGAGCCAAGGAAGGGCCACTTCCAACATTTTTCACATGCAGCTCCATTTTCTTTACGTTAAAACATGGGAATGAGAAACTTCTCAGTAAAAAGAATGAATGTCAACTAATGTCTCCATGAGAAAAAGGATTTTATGGGGTGAAGTTTCTTAATAAACCAGAGAACAAAAGTTTGGGTCAGAATACATACAGAAGATAGAGATGCCTCATCCAAACTCAGAAGGTGAACCTTTATTTCCCACCTTCTGTGAGAAGGCAGATTTATAATTGGATCATTACCTATATGATTCTATCTTCGTATGTAAAAATCCTTAGGAATGGCTTTGTTTTTCTGATATGAAGTAAAAGGAAAAGGCATCCACAGTATTGTCTCTGTCACTGGGCTATGGCCTGATTTTTTTTTTTCACCATGTCCAGAGAGTTAAAGAAGAGAAGGGCAAATACTGAAGATTTTCCTATTTTTAGTTCTTGGGCTTATGCAAAATCTTCTACAGCTTTTGTATGACACCACTTAAGTAATTTTGGCAGGATGGGTGTGTATATAAATAATTCTTTAGTATCTTTAGCCTTGACAGTGGTGGTGCCCTGTCATTTCTTAATCAGACCTTTCTAAAAAGTATGTACAATACTTGCTACTCTTGGCCATGTGTACTGTAGGATTGTAGCCAATTTTAAATAGGCAGCAAATATCTTTATTAGAAGCTCAACCACATTAATACAAGCTTTGGATGTATTTTCCATCCAACTTTTGTGAATTGTTGTTCCTGAATTTATAGATGCATTTCACCACCCGCTCTTTTTGCTTATTGTCTGTCTTTGATAACTTAAAATATAGATTAGAAATCAATTTCTTCCAGCATCTTAAGCAGAAAGGGCTGATACAAAAGAATCATTTAGCTTGTTAGCAATATCCTTTTCCTCCTCAGTTTTCTGTTGATTCCCTCATGGCCCCTCCAGCTAATGTCCTTCTCTCAGGTTTTCTCTTTCTGATGGCTGTACAAAAGACTGTCGTTCAAGTTTTTAGCTAATTCCTCTTCAAATTTCTTCTTTGCTGTGTTTTAAAGTCCAGCTTTCAAGAAAATGGCATGTCACTTTTGTAAATGTCATTTGGCTGAGTTTCCATTCCTGTTTTGAACATTCGTGGATCAAATTGACTTTTAAAATATCTGTTCATAAAGTATTTTTCTTGGCTTTTTCTCTTTATTGTTTATGTTCTCTTGTTTGAGCTTATTCATCACCATTCTTTTGACATTTGATGCTTTCTTCATCTTCCTTCTTCCTTTCTTTTAAACTGCTCTATTTTACTTTCCTTTTATATGTCTGGTATCCTGCTACAAAACTTGTATCCATTTTGTGTTATATATACACTGAACATCCTTGTTATGTGTGTTACTATGGTGTAGATACACTCCTGAACCACCAGTTGTTCTGTAGCATGAATTCTTTCTCATATTTTGAACTTGCTTGAAGAAGTGGGAGTTTGAAATATCTAAACCTTGTCCCAACTTACTTTTGACCACTTACACATATGCAGCTGGAGTCACACAGTATGAATGCTTTATTTGGTTTATCTACCTTTGTTTTTCTGTCAGCTTTATGCACTCTGGTTTTTTCTTATCTGGAGGTCATTGCCTATACCATTTTCTACTATCTTTTTATTGCTGGATAGAGTTTGAAATGGAGTGAGATGCAACTACACTTTTTTATCTAATTAATTTTTAAGTGGAATATTACTACTTCTAACACAAAGAATACTTGGGTTATACTGTAATGGGGTCAGTTGTTATCACTAATCCATTTGCATTGAACCATCTTAGCTTATGCTCATTGTTTCAAGGATAAGCTCTGCCTCAAAGAGATCTTGTTCTAAAAAACATGATGTTAGAAAGAGAGAAGGAATGAGTACGTAGTGGGTGTGAGGGCAGGATAGTAAAGAGCAGGCAGTACAGGTAGAATTGTCAAGTGTGGTATTTCTGGTTTTGCAGGAATTCTGGCAGAAGAGGAAGCCTTAAGGACTGGGCACTGTGAGCTCCTTTGTAACAGCAGGGGTGAAGGATGCCTTCTTTCACAAGTGGTCCCCACTAAAATTAAAAACGTGTCTATAAATAGAGGCAGGGAACTGAAATAGCCCAAGCAAAGGAAAGAAGATCCTTCTGTATTTTTTTCTGCCTTTCTCCTTTATACTGTTTTGATGCTATGTGTGGTGTTAGCTATAAAATGTCTCAGCTGGTCTGTATTTGGTTCCCTGCTTCACCATGAAGAGGTGGATGATTTGGCAAGTCACCTTCTGCAATGCATTTTGGTATCTAAAGACTCTTCTCAGAACAGTTTAAGTACTCCTCAGGACCTCAGTAAATGTTTGTCAACATCTTTAGGAATGAATTGCCTTTAAATATCTCTTATATATCTTTACATATCTTTTATATATCTTTAAATATCTCTTATACCTCAGTTTTCACTTTGCAAAGCTAAAGTAGCACTTTGATGCCTCATAGAATTGTTACACACTAAAATGTGTATAGCATTTCATTTACTGTAGTAGTAAAAGCTGTATGGTGTGGCTCTCATTTAAAGATTTGTCTCAGGTAGACAAGCCTGTTTAATTTGTAATGCTTCTGAAGGAGGAAAAATATAAATCAGCAGGAAGAACCTGAAATCTAATCTTAAAGATGCAAAAAAAAGGGTATTCTTTCAGAGCAGAATGCAATTCTGAATGTACTCCTGTCCCTGTGTCACATTTAATCTGGCTGGCAGGGATGTGGAAGGCAAGCTCTAGCAACCTGGGTACCTGCACAGGATCCCTGGACGGCTCATGCTCTGCCTAGCAGCTTGTGCTATAGCCCGTGCTGTCACCTTGTATCATCCTGTTATTACTGTTACCAGCTTTGTAAGCTAATTTCTGCAAGCTGTGGTATAGCTGTACCTCTATTTTGCAGTGCTCACAACACCTTAAGGGCAGTGGCAGGGCTCCTTCTCTCTGCAGGTGGATTGCAAGTCACATCTTAATGCTTGCAAATTTGGAACAAGGGAGAAACTACAAATGTCCACCTCCATCATGAAGAGATGTGTCTTTGTGGGGGAGGTGTGAGAGTGAAACTGTGGAGAGAGCATTTTACCCACGTGTGTGAGGTAAGTCCCAGCAGAATTGAGCTGACAGCGCTTTGTTTCCGGGCAGATCCCCCCAGGAAGCGCGTGGACTCCCCAATGCTGAACAGGCACGGGAAGCGGCGGCCCGAGAGGAAATCCATGGAGGTTCTCAGTGTGACAGATGGTGGATCCCCAGTTCCTGCTCGCAGAGCCATTGAAATGGCACAGCATGGACAGAGGTGGGTCTGTGCTTCGCCCAGGAGCCCTGCCTGCCTGGGTCTGCTCCCCCCCTTTGTGTTACACATACAAAGGAGCTGTGGGGCTTTCCTGTTTGCTCCAGCACTCATTTCACCTTCCAGTCACATCTGCAATGTGATCTGGCAGCCAGCAGTGCTTGTGCAGAAGTCCTGCCAGGGACTTAAGGGTTCTGTTTGCTTGCAGTTATTCCTCAGGAAGCCACCATGTCCTCTGGGCAAGACCCATCTCACCCCTTTTTAATTATTGAGGGTATGGGCATGCATTCTAAGCTTTCAATACAGGCTGGCTGGGCAATGGGAACACATGAGGGCTTTGGGAGGTCTCAGACACATGTGTCCTGTCAAACAGGATAAATTACCTTCTGCTTGTTCTTCTCTGTCTCCAGAGCCTACAACAGGAATCTAGGTGACTATCTGGGTTTAGGTTCCTAGCTTTTGGGCACCTGAAGTTCAATGAACACCATGCTCCATGTCATCAAAACAACTTGAATCTGAAAAGCCCTGTCGAGGCATCTTGTAGATGCCTCCAAAATGTGCTGTCAGAGCCAGAATGCATCTGAAATGGCACATAAATCACCACATGCTTGTAAAGTGATGGAATATGTATAATTGTCCTCTTTTCTATCAAAGAAAATGTCAGTCTTGTGGAGAAACAGCAGAGGAAAATGGTGTCTCCTCAAGGCAAGTTCTGGGAGAGTAAGTGAACTGTGGAAATTCACTTATGTGAACCATGGAAGTTGCTTCCTCAGTCCCTATGACTAGCCCAAGGGAAGCACATGCATTTGGTTTCACACTTGCATTAATCAATCAGTATAAAGAACACTTCCCATATATGAATGATGATGATGATGCTGTAACTTCTGTTTCAGTTTTTACATAATTTTTTATTTGTTCAGCTCTTAAGATCTGTTAAAAAAAAAAAAGCCTGCTGTGCCCAGAAGCTCCCTTTGCTGACTGAGAACTGGGAGAAGAACATGAAATAATTTCACAGATATTCCAGAGGCCCCTAGAATTGCTGGAAACTTTTCCTGGCAATTGTTACAGTTCTATCTGCAGTGAAGAAAGAATGGTGATTTCCAGAATCTGCTAGGACTTATTTCAGACTGGATATGTGACCTTGAGACTGCCATAAAGACTTCTTGACATATTGTAGGTTGGAAACCTGTCTCAAATATGTGATTTGGTGCGAGGTGTGGGTGAAATAATTGTTCAGGACAGGGTGTGCTCGGTGTTCCTAACAGGCCTCAAAGGAGTAAGGATGAGCACAGCACTGACTCCTCGTTCCACCTGCAGTGTTTACTCTGCTGCTGGGTGATGGGGGGGACATGAGGCCTCCAGAGCCAGGCAGAGGCAAATCACTTCTCCCCACCCCAAAGCTCCTTCACAGGGAGTGTCCAACTGAATGGAACAATCATGAGGTGTCAAATTGACCACAGCATTTTCTGAGAGCTGAAACCTTTTCTTTCATATCTGAACTTTGAATTTGGGTTCAGAAGCCTGAAGAGGCAAAGCTGTGTCTTGCTATCCAAAGTATTTCTTTTGCTTTTAAATGTCTCACTCAGTTCTGCACATGAGGAAGCAGTTGAAGTCAAAAGGTCTGGGATAAGTTCAGAGCAGAGATATATCCAGGCTACATATCAGTAAAGAAGGGCTTTGGCTTAAGGAGGAAGCAAAACCTGCAGGCACAAAAGAGATATGGGGCAATGCATACCACAGGTCAGGAATGGACATAAAAGTGTGATTAAGGGTGGAGAAAGGGGTGTAATAACACCATGATTGATAATGATGGGCATGGTGGTGCTTGTTTTTGAAGGGGTTAAAGGGAAGTTGTTATTTTACTCCACGTGTGAGCTTCCATAATTCATCCCATGCACATGCAGAGATGACAATGGCACATTTCGTGCTGCTGGCAGCACAGTCGTTCATAACACGAACTGGCTTCACTAACGAACCCCACTGCATGGGGAGTGTCTGGGGACAATGCATTGCTGATGGGGCACCATCTGTCAGAACACTCAGTAACAAAGTGACAAGTGCCTTCCACCAAGAATGGGGATTTTAATGGCTAGGTGCATATTATATTCCATGAAATGACCCACTGACAGTTGGTTTTACAGCAGTAGGGTTTAGATCCCCAAGAGGAATGCTTTTTTAAGAACTACCTTTTTTTTGATCTCAAGAGACAACTATTCAGTGCTTTTATCCTACAATACCAGGAAGACTGACCATGGAATCAGGTCTCCTATTTAAACACAGATGACTTGTGTAAACATCTGGAGAAACAGTGCCATTGCTTCTTTCTTGAGCTGGCAAAGATATACTTCTGACCAGTGGGCAAAACACACCCAAGTGTCTTGTGATTTAGTCCTACTTTCCTCTTTCCCAGTAGTAAACAGATATTTGCTTGCATAAGGAGGATTTCTGTTACAGCCTCGGGTTTACATGTCTGTATCATGATCTGTGCTTTTGGTAACAGTGTGGGGGCCCTACAAGTGTCTGATCTTGGCTTGTTTAGGGCATATCTTTCCACTGAAATTTAAAACTTGGCAGCCTCCAGCCTCCAGACTGAGAAAGTATTAAGTGAAAAACATAATCCTTCAGTGACTTGGTTTTGAATAATGGACGAGGAAAACTCACACAAAAGCTGCTTGTGGAGCTTACAGGCTCCTTGAAATGCTTGTGCCAACCTTTCCAGGTGTTCTCCAATGGATCCTTGTGAATGGCAAAGTTGGTATGCACAAATTCTAACCCCTCTAAAAATGGTGACTAAGTTTTGTTAGTTCTTGGGTTTCCCTGCTAGTTGTCAACTAAACTGGGTTCATAATTATATCTTAATTACTTCTGCTGTTCTGGTATCCCCACCTCTCAGACTATCTGATATTTCATTGAAATGTCAAAAGAAAAGAAGTAGGTCCTGAGCTTAGTTTAACATCAGCTAATTTGTCCCTTGTGCTAAAATCACACAGACTAGGAAGAATTCCATGGGAGCAAGAATCCAGCAGGGATATGGCAGAAATTTTCAGCAGCTTTGCTGTGAGAGTCCAAAAACCATTCTAAAATGGGCTTCATTAACTATTCATTTTCTTCTAGTTTTTGAAGTGGAGAGCTTGCATGAGAGATCAGCTAACATTAGGAAGCAGTGTTCTGTGAAACAGTGAAGTGAAATATATTACAGAGAGCTGCCCTTTTAGTAAAGCACAGGGAATTTCACTTCTAAGCTGCAGGGATTCAGACCCAAGATGAGAAAGAAGGGCATTTCTCTATACACTGAGTATAAGGAAGAGAGTTGCGAGTTAAGTGGCAATGGACCCTATAAATTAGAATACAAAATGCATTACTGTTCCTCTAAGAGGCTCTATGGTCTGATTTTAACCTTTTCTGAGAGCATGCTTAGTGTTGAGGTCTCCTGGAAAAGTCATGAGTAATGAATGCTTTGCAATTAATGCTTCAGGTGTGTTCTGTTTTCCCTGGACACTGTGACAAAGTAGATGGTACCTGGATTTTAAATTAAATAAAGGAGAGCAGGGTTTACAAGTATGCATGGGGGAAGTCGTCTTAGACCTCGGAAGTCAGGGGAAGATAATGAACTTGAGCACTGTGTAGGCTTGAGCCATAACTGTAAAGGAAAGGTTTTTCAGAGCGTTGCTTAAAAAGGGGAGGATGGGTTGGGGGACTGGGTGTCCAGCATTGCTACAGGTGACTCTCTTTTATAAAAATGTCCACACTAGTAACTGTGTTTTCTCGCTTTGTTCCTGCCATAGTAAAACAATGTTCAGTAAAAGCCTGGATATCTCTGAAGCCAATCCCAAATTCAACAAAGAAGAAAGGTATAAACACTGACAATATGTTCCTCTCCTCTACCTCACTGCTGAGACCTTAAAGATGCAGTACTTACCTTCTCTGTGTGGGGACAGAGCTGTTCTCTCTTTTCTCTTTAGAGAGAAGCAAAGAGGGTGGGATATTTACAGCTCCACACTATATATGTTTTTGTACAGTACCATTCATTTGAGGCTATCCCCAATGCAGCCTTGGACTGTACCAATGATTTCCCCACTCAAATTTCGTCCTACTGCTATTTTCTGGTTCAGTTCTGCCATGAGTAGAAGTTCTGCCCAGGGTAGAAGATGTATTTGCTTAAGACTCCTTTGGGAAGGATTGGAATATAAAACACTAGGAAAGCCCAGAATGTTCCACTGTGAGCATTAGAGACAGCAGCACAACTGAGTGAGTGACAACAGTGGTAGGAAAATTTGGAAATTCAGTCTGATAGACAAAGAATTAAGGACCTCTGGTAAGAGACAAACTTTTAAAGACTACCCAGAGGACACAGGAGGAAAACATGTTTGAAAACAGAGTTTTTGGAGGATGATTCTAATCCAGCAGTTCAAGTGACAGATGCTGAAGAACAGCAGAAAGGGTAACACCCAACTCTCCAACAGAGGCACAATGAAAGACAGGTAGGCCACCACATTTACAGACTTTAAGTGGACTTATGTGGGTCCATGAACACAAAAAAACATTTATACTTTTGTATAGGTTTTTAGTGTACATGTTGTTTCTAAACTTTTGGTCTCAGAGGAAGAGAATTTTTCTCTGTGTTGAAAACTGGCATCCCAAAGGATAACTTCATCAAAATGCAATCCTTACACATTTTGGACAAACACTAAGCTTACCCAAAGGTTACAAGTGTGGCATATGATTCAAAAAGGGAGGAGCAATGGCTTCCTTAAAGGAACCAATGGACTTCACAAACCATTCATATTTCCATTTCCCCTTTTCATAAAAATATTTCTATACAGAGATAAAGGTGGCCTTTATGCCTCAGGAGAATTGCAGGATGTGTGAGGGACTGTTTTGGCCCTTTGCAGTCTGAGACAGTCTTCTGTGGTCAATGTTTCAAGTCCTGAACATGCCACAGTGAGGAACATCGTGCATTTGCAGGAGAGATTGTGCCTCGTGTAGTGTGCAAAGCACCCTCTCTAAGGTGCCAAAAACCAGCAGGCATTGGATTGGACCTGATTTGTTAGCAACCTTGTAGTTCCACAGCCATAAAGAAGTAGTGGTTATACAGCCTTTAGTGGCTGGGCTATCCTGGGCTGTTAGCACAGACATAGAAATTCCTGTTCCTTTCTCTGATACTCCCTATGTGTAAGTTCTGCTCTTTAACATGTGGCACTTCTTGCATTAAAAGTTAGTCCAAGGTTACTCCAAAAGTGAGATTTTTCATAGTAATTAGGAATCAGGTCCAGTAAAAGAGATGCATACATTTTATCTGTGACAGGAGTCTTTCAGTGGATGTTCTGAGCGCCATTCCTTGTCCCTTTGTCCTTCTCTGACAGCTGCTACAGCTGTGTTAGGAGCAGAAGAAATGACACTTCTGTATCTTCTGTGGGAATTTCTTAAATCCACATAGGCATTTTGTGTTCCTTCTCAAAGGTGGTATTTTTCAGAAAACAGGAGGAGAAGGTTAGAGCACTGTATGAGGATCACCCACAGTCCTGCTCATTCAAGGACCAGGCTGAATTTTTGAGGACCACATTCACTGTGATCTTACCTCCCTCCCACTTCTGAGTCAAGTGAAGGACCTCAGTGGTGGGAATGGGAGAGAACCTGGATTCTAGATCTGTGCACAACCACATGAAAGGAAGGGGTAGCCAGCAAAGAGGACCCCAGCAAAATGGGGTCTCATAAATCAGGGTGGCCATTAAATTTTTGTTCAGTGTTTAATTGTCCAATTTTATGATACCTTTTTTAAAGGAATACTGCATCTTTAAGGGTCCCTTCCCTCTAGATGCACATGGTTGTCTTAGTAGCTGAGGCCACTGTCCCTTTCTTTTTCTTTTTCTTTCTGACTTTCTTTCACCCCCTCTTTCAGTGCTTCTCTTCTTCTGTATCTGGGTTGCTGCAGCTCCGTAGTTCACTTGCTTCAGTATTATAGGGAATGCACATGTCTGCGCTTCTGGGTCTATTGTGTCCTGGGATTGTTCATTTTTTTTTAAACCTCATTCCCCCTTTCCTTTACCCTATTGTCAATTTGCTTTCCATTCTCTTTGTTAACCTCTTCAGTGCCTTCCCTATTGGGAAAATGACTTGAAAGAAACATTATTGAACCTTCTTGCACCCATTCTATTTACATTTGACTATTCTGCATGTGTGAATATGGGTGTATTTTCTGTATAAATATACACACAGGTTCCAGTATATGCAATGGGTGTCAATTTGCTCTTGTCAGTTACATCACCGTAGATAGATTGGTACAGGTATGATTGAGGACAGCATTTGTTCCTAAATATATACATATATTTGTGTATATATATATATATGAATTAGATTTTACCCAAATTTGCACTCCACAGGCTGAAATATAAATGGAGTGTCACTCAAACACATGAAAAAGAACTTGCTGTAATGCTTCTTTCCACTTCTCTATCAGTGCATAGCACAACAGCTTTTTTGTCCTATTCTGACTGCATTTTCATTTTAACTGTTTTCAAAACTGCCTTGGTGGCTCAGCCCAGCACTTGCAATGTTGATGTAACTGGAGGCATGGCTAGTTGCACTGAGCAGTAAACTGTGAAATCTACTGGGCATATATTAAATTTGGCATTTCTGTCTTGTGGCGAATGGATTTTCCTCACCCAGCCAGAGGTAGCTCTGGCAGCTTGGGAGCCTCTTATTGAAAATGGAGAGAATGAGAGAGAGAAAGTGACAGAGAGGAAAAAAAGCATTGCATCCAACTTGAAAATAATTTGGCTTAATAACACCAAACCGTTTTTTTATTTCTAATCTAATCTTTGTTAATGTGAAAAGGTGGTGACATTTTCCTGAGTTTGCTTACCTGCACCCCTGAAAACTTAATAACCTGACAATTCTATTTCCATTTTGAATGCTTTGGTTAGTAGATAAAAATTAAGAATACTGATGTTTTCAATTGTCACTAGCCTTCAAAGTCAACGTGCCAGAGATTCAGTCTGCTTTTAGAACTGCTTTTTCAGACTCTTTTCAGCACAGCATTGATTTATTCTCCATTCACATTTGAAAGATTTCCTTTGCAACCTACAAGACCCAGAGACTGAATTTATTTTAAATGAAAAATGAGATCCTGGAGCACAAGATGGCATCCACAGAGATAAGTGCTGGGTTGCTGAGCTGGTATGTTCTAGCTGATCTGAATTCCTGACTGTAAGACCATCATGACTAATAAGGCAGTATCAAAGCAGATTCACAGCTTGAGCTACAATCTTGTATCCTGGGCTCCCAAGCTGGCTCAGAAATGCATGCTTTAATAACCAATACATTTCACAGTTCATTCATGGCAAAGAAAAAGTACTTCTTACCAGGCCAGCTTGGGGGACAGAGGGACACTGCACTGAACAAACTGGGGACAAAAAGAACAATTTCCTGGATAACAGTGTGATATAACTGTGCCTTATGTAAGAGGCAGAAAAGAAATGCAGCATGAAGTATGAACCCCATTGCTCTGCTGACTGCTTTAATTGGGATTTGGCTGGGAATTTTTTTTTGCAGCCTTAGTGTGTGCCTCTCCATATTCCCCAGTGCCAAAGTTGGATGTCTGCAATATGTGAGTGGGACAAAAGTTGTTTTTTGGTGAATGAAACTGTCCCCTTAGTGTTCCTGGTCTCTGGAAAGACTTAGGCACCGGTGGCAATGATTGTGACCGTTCAGTTCTGCGAACAGTATTTCACTCTGCTTTTCCTACTCTTCTCTCCACCTGCCTCCACACCCCTCTCTCTTTCTTTCTCTCTCCCTCTCTCTTTATTTTCCCTTTCCGAGGATGGCGAGTGCTGATCCATTGGGGTAAGCTCTAGTTTTGGATTATTCCTCTTGCGGGACCTGTTGTAACTTTGTAGAGGAACTTTTCATTTGCAATTTCCAAACACAACACAGGTTGATACAATTCAGAGACTGAGGCTTTACAGCAGGGAGAGAGAGAGAGAGATGTGGGAAGAAGCATTTTTGGTGCTTTTGTCTGTGTTTGTGTGCTTTTATGTTGGAGTCACACTCCATATAATTTACTTTTGGGTTATTTTTTTGTTCTCTTATTTGTCCCTCTATTTCAATGTCTGTGGGCACAGAAAACTATCCTCAGACACTGTGCAGATACCAGATGCCTTCTGAGAAAGAAACCCATTCCCTGTTTAGCATTTTTGTATCTGTTTGGTATTTTCCAGTTAATTTGAATCTTAATTTATCCAGTTTTCTTCTTTTTCTTTTTTATGAAACTGAATCCCATCCATGTTATTAAAAAAATGCTGGGTATTCCCTCTCTTTTTAGAATATGTTTTCTTAAGAGGTGAACAGATGGCCCTAGAGACAGATATATCTTCAAAGCTCTGTATTTTCAATAAAGGCAGTATAGGTACAGCTAAGAATGCAATCATGCTTCAAATTATAGTTCCATTTATAAATACTTAAGAGAAGGAGAATGTTATATTAATAAATGATTTAATAAAACCATTGTAATAGATCATTACAGACTACAGTAAAAACTTCTTGAGAGGGTACACATTGAGAAAGCTAATTAGCACCAGTAACATTTACTTCTCTTGTTTGCAGCGTGCTTCAATATCTGTTAATCCTTTCTAAACTATTTATAGATGGAACTTTAGTATAATTGGCCAATTAAAGAGGGTGGTGCTGTTCAACATCACCATCTGTATGGGCTGAAAATAAGAAGAGGTGTGTTACCAGCACCTGCACTTCTTCCTCTGCACTCTCTGTAAGGCTTCATCTTACAAGTGGTTGTTACCATGAGCAGACCTTCTGACTCAAGCATGAGTATTCCCAGTAAGAGCTGTCACAGTGTTATTTGCATGGCTGGGACTGTAAGACTGTGGAACATCCAAGGTATTCTAAACATATTCCCTGAATCAGGGGGTGAGGAAGCACAGTTTGTACCTTTCAGACACCCAAAAGTAAGAGTGATGAGATTCAACACAGCCTGACTGCTCACCTCTTGCATGTTGATTCAGGTCATTGTCAGGGGTCTCCTACCCTGAAGTTTCAGTTTAGATCTTTTTGGCTTTGAGTGAACAAGGAAAGAGGAGTATCAAATTCCACCCAATTCATGCTTGAAGCAAATAAGAGGTTGGCTGGGTGTTTTCTGGAATGACTTGCAAAACCACACATGGAATCAAACCAATTCAAAATTTCTAAGGCATTTCACCCAGGGACACAAGTCTGATGCATCTCTGCACGCTGCATGCATGCTGCAGGCTCCCCTTCTTGGAAGCATGGCTCCAGCTTGACCAGCTGTATTCAGCATCCTGGTAAAACTGTGCTATGAAAGCAAGTTCTGCTGGGACTGCAACAAGGTACCAAACTCATAACAAAAAGCTCTAGGAGATGGTTATTCAAAGAAGAAACAAATGCCAAATCTGACCTAGATGTTAAATTCATGCTGTGAAGCTTTTATGTTCTGCTAGTGTGTCCTAGCAGGGGCACTGCTTAAAGCATTTGGGAACAGATCTGAGAGAAGGGTGATGGAGAGATGCTCTGTACATGTGCTACATGTGCAGTGCAGTTACCAGGCCAGCTGCACTCTCCTGTCTCCTGTTTCTCTCTATCTGCACCTCAGCAGTGTCAGGCTTCAGCCCTACACCTCTCAGGAAATTCTGCATTCTCTGAAACCAGCTGGAAACTGGATTCAAGCCCCTCAGTTTCAGAAAACTGGTCTGACATGAACTGGGCCTTGCATGGCTTCTGCTTGACAGCAGCTGGCTAAAATGAGTACAAAATTACTTTAAAATGAAGGACCTTTCAACTTTGATACTTTGAATTATCAAATAGATTAAATAAGGTATAAAATCATCACAGCTACAAACTCCAGCCCACACACGCACATTTCATTTCAGTCCTTTGCCTCTCTCTTTCATAGCTCAGCTGTCTCCAGGTTATTGTCAGTCTGTGGAATGGGAGGAATAGCCTGCAATGATCTTGGTGTCCACCCCATGTTTAGAGTGCCCTCTGCATCTTCCCTCTCCTAAACCTTGGGTCTGCCTCCCTTATGTTTTGGGGTTTTTGAATTCCTCCCTCCAGGCTTGTCTAAACAACTGTGTCACTAAAGAGTCTCTTCTTGGGTCTCTAAGTCTGGCAGTTGTGTTTGAGGGAATGCTCTTTATCTGAGCAACTGCACAAATAGAAAGCTTCTATTTTCAACAACCTTTTGATGACTTCCATTGAGTTAATGCACAAGCACACAGGAAAGCAAAGCATAGAGCAAAATGAGTCACACACAGTGTTCACAGTTTCCTGGATTGTTGCATTTAGTATTAAGTTATTGGAATAATTATAGATTTAATACTTCCAGTAACATTTAATGCCTGTAAAGACTCTTAGGAGGTTACTCACTAATAAATACTTCTCACTAGATAAATGTATTTCATAGCCATGGAGATGATGTCGTACCTCTTTCCACACAAAAGACGTAAGAGTCTGCCATATTAATGCTGCCTGTAGGGCCTCAAACTTTCATTTTCTGGTGAGGGGGCTAAAAATTTAAATTCCTGTTCTTTCATTACAGAATTTCAGCATAATGCAACATTTTCATTCCTTTCTTTTGGCCCTGTCCCAGTTCTGTCCACCTGACTCTGAGATACAGGAGCAGTGCATGTGATTGTTTTTTACAAACTGAATTACAGCATTGCTTAGCTGAAATGATCTTGATGAGAGGGACAAATCTGTCATTTTTGCTTGTTAGCACTTTTTGTACTGGAGTACAGAACCACATAGTGGGGCATGGTACTGAGTTTTTATAGCTAGCTTGAGAATCATATCCTATTCGTAGAGGTAAATTATGGAAGATTTGTTAAATTAAAGAAGATGCAAGGAAAATCTCCTCAGTCTTGGTGCATATCCTATACTACCACTTTCTGGTAAAGGAGGAAGACTTCTGAAAACATATAGCTTTCTTTTCACCCTGACACCTAAATTGAACACAGGCTTTTTAAAATTCTTTCCACTGCTCCTATATACAATTTCCAGTGTGGACAAACTGAAGCTTGCCATAGGGCCTACTTTACTTCTTACATATTTTGCATGTAAATCAGCAGCAGAAATAAATCTTGTTCAATAGCAATCATGTGGATACTGAATGCATTTCCAGGAGGATTTCATACTAACTCTCTCTTATGTCCCCTGCCTCAGGCTCCTAGGCTGGATGAAAGCACAGTACACAACAACAATTTTTCAAATATTGCTTCCAATAAAGAATTGGGATTTGGGAGGGGGGGACTGCCATATTCTGCCCTACATGTGTGTGATCCTTTTTTGCAAAAAAATAAGAGGCAGTGGGGTTGGGAAGTGAGAATTCAGGACTGTTGGAAACACCTGATTGCAAAAAGGAAATAGCAGAGTGTAACTTTTAAGCAAATATCCTGGAATTCAGGTGAGTGTCAGAGAGGACGTTCCCACCACAATTAAGAGATGGTGGAAATAATTCCTTTAAGTTGGTGTATAACTGCATCTCTGGGCACCTGAATGCCTTCCACATTTGTCCAAAATAATCTATGGATTCCTCTTGTAATTCATAGTGTGGAAGAAGCTTTTCCTGATGATTCATGCAAGGAACATTTTAACTAAATGGACTTCCCATCTGCACGACACATCTGTGGTGCAGTCAGCTACTTCACTTATAGGAGAGGCACATACAATATTCTTTCAAAAGTGGAGCAGACAGTTCTCCCCTTAAAATTACTTTCCATAAACCTTTATGAGTGCCCCAGATCTTGATGGTACAAATTTAGGCTTAATCTAGTGTGAAAGAATGCCAGGAGTGAGCCTAGTTTTTTACTGCTGCACTAGGATGGGCCGACTATATCAGGGTACCAGAAAAAAACCTATGTGGGAATTTTCTGCATAGAATGAGTGCCCCAGATCTTCACAGTGGCAGCTGAGATTTAATCTGGCCAAAAAAACATTTCTGTGAGTGAGCTTCTGATTTTCACCTACTTAGTGTGATGGACAGACTGCAATGGGATACAAACAAAACCATCAGGACAGAGGATACAAGTAGAGAAAACAGAACCTGCCATTCTGTTCAGTTGTAGCTTATTTTTTTCCTTGGAAATACTTCCTCTTTTGCAGTTCACTTATTTTTAAAGAATTCTGCCACTCAAACTTATTTAATAATAAATGTCTGGGAGACCATTTTAGAGATAGTTTTTCTGCTTTGTTCTACAAGAGCTGGACAGAGTAAACTGATACTGTTTATGGTCTAAATTTGTTTTATATTCTTATGCATAAGTTGGCATCCAGTATCTGACCTATATAAATTTTTAATGTATATGTGTGTAAACACAGACAGACACATATTAAAATACATACACCCATACACTTAGTTTTCTACAGGAATTTCACCTTTTCATGTTTGTTACCTGAAGGCAAGTAGTTGTTTTTATGGTTCTTGTTATAGGTAGGTTATTATAGGTAGGGAACATTGATAGTTTTGCTATATTGACACATTGCTGCATGGTGGTTGTTGAATAAATAGGTTCTCAGCCAAATTCTCTCTTGTAAGATGTTTCAGTCTTCAAGACAACTTTCTATTTAAAAAGGATAGAAAGCAGCTGTCTCTGGGGCTCACTCATGTACAGTCACATATAAGGTGTGGGTTTTTTCTGCAGGGCAGCCCTCCTCCTAGGAACTTCATCTGCTGAAGTGTTTGTGCAGTCTGGCCTGTCTGCTCTTCCACCAGGTTTAGCATAGCACATTTGCACATTTTATTGTCAGCAGCTGACATTTTCCATAGGTGGCCTTTGCTGGAGAGCATAAGACCATTAACAGTATAGGTGACCTTGTCAGCAGAGAGGACAGTTCACTCTCCCTTGACTGACCTCTTTCTGAGGGCACCTGAGCTGTAATTTTGATATTAGTAAAGTCATCAACAAAAGCAGAACTCGTTATCCACAGAGAAGACCTGGCTTGCTTAATGCAGCAGCAAGAATTCTCACTGGAGGGCAAAGATGTGAAATCCATCAGTGAGAAGCTGGAAAGGGCTAAGCCAATGCAATCTTTGATTTCAGTGGGAAGTCATCACATAAAAATTATTGTGTGCTTGAGTCAAGGAGACTTGGGGTTTTATTATCTAGAAGAACTCCCTACCTTTTTGTCTTGTACACATGGTGCTTTTCCATGTTGCTTGTGACAGAGAAAGTCTCATTTTGTAACTGCCAGCACTGTGCAAAACAGAATTTCTAGCACAAGTTTGAATGTCTTCACCATGCTTTTGAATTGAGCTGTTCAATTTGCACAGAGCAGACCTAGTAGCTTCCATGTGCTTGATGACCAAAAAGAAAGTAGCAACTGCCTTGATTGAAAGGGATTACAGTATTCTCCCTGAGCAACAGCATTTCTTTGATTTGGGGTGGGGGGACAACTGAAAAACGTGGCAATAGTGAAAGGAAAGAAAAGGAAAGAGTTATGTCCTTTTCCAGTGACAGCCTCCCTCCTCTTCCTCACTTCATGCCTGTGCCTGTGGTGGCTGGTGTTCAGGGTTGTTACTTGTCCCAGTTTTCTGAGGGATGTTTTCCTTGTTGTGTCCATCCAGGTCTCGGTCAATCAGCGGAGCATCGTCTGGGCTCTCCACCAGTCCTCTCAGCAGTCCAAGGGTAAGTGCTGCTGCTCCAAGATCTGTTGGTCCAATCCACTCACACATGCTTGATGCTTTTTGACATCTGTTGCGCCAGAGCTGTGGCTCTTAGCTGGGATGTTTTGCTTTTCCTTGGCAGCTTGCAAATTTTCATGGTGGTGAGGGAAATGTTACTTACAAATGCAGGTGGAGAATTTCTCTTACATGTTCCCTGCACTGTTAGCAGGGATCTCACTGTGCCCCTGCCTTTTTTCAGTCTCTTAAGCACACAGAATAACATTGCTATGACTAAACACTCCATATCCAGCTGAGGTCTGCATATAGCCTGTTTTCAGACCAAGTGATCAGGAACCATTTCACAGCTGCCTTCAATTAGGTCACAGTAAAGCACCAAAGCATGCTGGTTATCTTCTGTTTGCCTCAGAATAGCTCATATTAGGAAGTCAGAAAAATAATTTACACAAATTTGAGGCCTAGGAAATTTAAAAGGAAAGTAAGAAGCTGACTGATTAGGATGAGTAAAGAACATTCAAATCCCTATAAACAAGGTACCTTCCCATGCCCTTTTTAAGCATGCAGTCAACTAAATACTCATACTGAATACTGATACTCAGCCAGTACAACACATGCTTGATAGTACATTTATTGTGAAGTTGTAACTGTTTCTAAATGCAATGACAGAGGCCTGCCAATTCTTGTTAACTTATTTAGGGATAAAAGTGAGTATTCCTAGTGCTTGAAAAGGTCAGCTAAGTCACTTTAAGACTGCAGTGCCTAGCAGGAGTCTAGACCCCATCAAAAACTCTGTTGGGCTGTGATGGTGCATGTTACCTAAACGTCTGGCCCAAAGTCTCTGGAGGATTTCTACATACTTCCCATGACTTCATGAGATGATGCTATCCCCCGCTAGAAATTGATATAGTCCATGTCTTAAGCTATGGATACATCCACAGATCTAGTCTCAGTTCTATGAAGATAACATAAGTATTCCAAGTATTTGAAATCGCAGTTCCACCTTAAGATTCTGTGTAATTCTTGTGAATAAAGACACACTGTCAGCTCTAAGTTTATAGTCTAGTAAAACTTCCAGCACTTTGCTTGATTGAATTACTTCCTGAAACCTGTTTTGGGCTCCTGCCAATTATTATCCTGTTTGAAACCAGCATAAGGTTCTTGAGGTCTCCTCTATGTCTTTAAAGTCCTAGGGACCCGTGAAAATCCATTTCCTTCTTTCTGCACCAGGACTTCTGGTTGCCAGTGAAATGCAGAGGTCTGAGAACTCTTATGCCACTGCAAAATGTACTGGAAAAGAGCATGGAAACAGTGTTTTGCACAAAATAAGCATCCAGTGAAGCAAACTTAAATCTTGATTTCATTAATTGATCTCTTGGGATCAATTTCTGACATCTCAGTAGGACAACATCAAAGAATAAGTTTGACAAGATTGCATAGTCGCTGTATCTTACCATTATTACTTAATAGGCAGTTGATGACTTATTCTTCAAAGGGATTTAGCAATCAGGTGGCATTTTCAGCAGATCATAATGATATTAATGCTGGTCATATTTGAGGCTTAAAAGGAAATGTTGGAACAAAAATCATATTTTTTAAAATGTCCTTACCTATGCTTCTAATAGCACCTTAGATTATTGAAAGAGAACATACTTTAAGAAACAAATACACCTTTCACTTTTTGTACTGCTTAGGTTTAGTTCTATGAGGAATTGAATTCAGCAGCAAATAAAAGTTACCAAATTTCACAAGATCTTGCTAATGATGTTCCACATTGCACCAGCTGAAATCGAGACCTGATCTTGTTCTTCATTTCATTATTAAATATGTGGTAATTAAGGGTGCCTCTTCAGATTCTTAATGACTTAAGAGGGAGTTGAATCATACTTTATTTCTTTCAAATCTGCTTCTCAAGCCATCATACATGTAAAATAGAAAAATTGCAAGGAAACATTTGCAATTAATAGTCTTTGAGTTTTATCCATTGGTGTCATTTGCAGATAGTTAATAGTCAGATGCCAATAGTGACTTCCACAAATTAAACACTTTCCTCATCTTTTCCCCTTCCTTGCTCATTGACAATGAGAATTTAGCAACATGGCTGACTTAAGTTTAACTTTACAATCTTAATAGTAATACAAATATTTTGATGTACTGATTTTCCTTTAATTTTGGTGGCCTAACCCTAAGTTCTTTGAAGTAATTTCAAAACTTTGATGCAAACAGCTTAGAGACATAAGTCTTAAATACATTTCTACAGTTTTTAAATATGGCAACATTGTGCTAATCCATCACACCCAAGAAGGAAGTCCCTAGTGAGTATGTTCACCTGGGACTGAGATTTGAGAGAAGCTTACATGTACATGGTATATCTGGTTAGTTCTTTTTTGAGGCTTTTAGGTGTCAAGTATGGATAATAATAATGGTGATGGTGTAATTTTTCATAGGTAATATTTCGTAGAAATCAAAGGGTAGACCAAAGCTGAATATCTTGAGTAGTGATTTTTATTTTTACAATTATTCCAGTACTTGTAATCTAAGGCGGTAATAGCAATGATTTGTAAGAACTTTTGTTGTTGTTGTTGTTTTAAATGTGATTTTTAGCTTGCTAATAACCCTTAAAAGGCTTCTACCCTTCCAAGTCTGTCTATTGCTGTTTGCTGTCAAAGTATGAATGGTTTCCCAAAATACCTCTTAACATGTGTAAATATTCTTGTTTGGGAAAAAAAATCATAATCCCATTTTGATACCTCAGCAGTGGATTATGAACTTTGCTTGTCTTTTTTCTTTTTAAACTATGTCTTACAAAACAATGGCTCCCCCCACCCTCTTCTTAGACTTGGGACTTAGTGGCAAATATTGCTGAGACTTTATGACAGAAATTCCAATTATCAAGCTATCCTTCAATGCAATGAGGGATGTTGGAGGAGAAGCATAAAGTCTGATGGAAAGTATCATCTCTTCCCAGATAAATAAATTTACCAGACCTTACTGAAGTTTTTGCTGTAACAGTTTAAAAATCAAACACCAATCTGAGTTCCTATATTTCTCATGGTGTTGTGTGCTCTGAAGCTTCCAAGTGAAAGCTGAGCAATTTAACATTCCAGATCAGGGGAGGGGAGTGGGTGCCCAGGTGGCATCACTCTCCCTTTTCCCCCTCTTTCTGCAATGGGTGGCTGCAACTGGTGCATTACCCAGCCAGGGGTAAAGAGGAAGGAAAGAGGTTCTGACTGGTGTGTGCAGTAACTGTGTGTATCCCCTGCCACTCTGTATGTATCACACACCTGTTCTGAGTCTCATCTCTCTACTGGGTTTGCATATGGGCACATGGAGCTGAAAGAGGTGGTCCCTTTCTTGGCACATCTCAATTTGTCTGTGGCTTGAGTGGTTCTTCCCTTTCCTCACCTCCCTACAGCATCGTGCTTCTCTCACTGCAGGGCAATCAGAACAATCCCAGAGAGATGGCATTTCTCTCTTCTTTTTTTCTTGGTTACTTTCCTTTTTTATTTTTTTCCTTTTTTTCTTTTTTTTTTCCTTGTTCCTTTGTTGTACTTTTCTTTCTGTTGTTTTCCTTTGCTGACACGTGGTTGGTTAATATGATGAAGCCTGTTATGACACTGTTGTTCTTGCTGCTGCCGCTGCTGCTGTTGTTGAATATGCTGTGTTCCCAGCTAACTGCATGTCTTTTTTTTGTTTTTTGTTTGTTTGTTTGTTTTCATTTCTTTGCAAAATCCCTCCCCCCCACTACCCCTTCACCTCCATCTCCTGTGTCTCCTTGTGACATGGTGCATCTTTGTGACTCGGATGGATTTTGTTCTGACTTTCCTTTCTCTGCTCGCCCGCTCTTTGCGTATTTCACTGTTTTTGATGTGCATGGACACTCTGCGTCTGTCTCGTAGCCTATCAGAAAGTTCTTCATCCCCCCTCAGACCTCCGACCTCCCTTTCTCTCCCCGACCCCAAGTCTCCTTGGACCCTGATGCTTGTAGGAACGCCTCCAGGCCTGGACATGTACTCCAACCAAAGCCAGCACTTCAGCCCAACCCAAAGACGCAGACTTTGCCATCCAAGAGCAAATTGGCTGAAAAACCACTCCAGTCTACTAAATCCAACCCACTCCCTGCCAGCAATGCCAGCGCCCCCTCTTCCCAGAACAACCCTGTGCAGAACGCTCAGGGCCGCTCGCCTGCTGCCGGCTTTAACCCACAGCTGGCCGTTCCTAAAGTGCAGACCAACCCTATGTCTCCTGTTAGATTGCTCCCTTCTAGTACTGACCCAAGCACCAAATCTATCCCCATCATACAGGTCACCCCTCACCCCTCTCCAAGGGGAAGTCCCCTCCCTACCCCCAAGGGGACACCTGTTCATACGCCAAAGGAGAGCCCAGCAGGCACACCCAACCCAACACCACCATCCAGCCCCAGCATTGGAGGAATGCCTTGGAGGACACGGCTCAACTCCATCAAGAATAGTTTCCTGGGGTCTCCTCGCTTCCATCGTCGGAAATTACAAGGTGAGTACTCACCCAGGGTGGTTCTGATTTGGGCAGACATTCAGCAGGAATTTCATGCCTCTTTGTGGCTTTGCAAATTCTCTGTACCAAGGACTGAATATTGATGTGGAAAATGAGAGTGATAGCATCAGCCAAGCCCTAACCCACATGTGAGCAGGCTCTGTCATGCCACGGCCCCTGCTCCAACAGCATCTCCTGAGCCCTCTTCACACTGCAGCCATGCAGCTCTTACTATCCCTTTTGTGGCTCTTAGACCACAAGAAAAATCTGTCTTCAGTTTCTTCACTTGCTTTGCACGTGAACCTAGGGCTCAGCCATTTCCCCTGTGGCTGTGCTCCACTGCCTCTCCACAGCCACAGGCTGAGCCTTATGCTGAAAAAAAAAAGACAGCCAGAGGCAATAGGCTGAAGCTGTCCTTCTGAAGCACAGCTTTTTTGATCTTGGTTAATGCTTTTTTTTGCCTCCTTTGGTAATTGGTGCAAAAATCTCCTTAATACAATCAGTGGTTTCATATCTGCTGGCCTACTTCAGTTTTCTAAGTCTCTAGAGTGTTGAGATGTGCAAAATTTTCTTCCTCAGGCTCCAGGTGGCTTTTTTGCATGCCTGCAAAGGGCAGCCAAAGTCACATGCCTTATCCTTGGACATTAGCAGCAGCTATCCCATCACCCTGTGGTTTTCCAGGGTACCGGGATGTGATCCCATGGGAAAGGAGGATTACAGCCATGGATTTTTGAGCTGTGATGGTCATTGCCATTGCCACTGAGGTGGTCAGAGAGCTGCAGAGAATGGCAGCAGTGACTGAGCTGCACCCAGCTGGGCTGTGAGGCAGTGGCAACAGAGTTATTGGCACAGTGTGTTTGGGTCTGGACCAGAAACCACTGAAGCCAGTGCAAGATTACCTAATGACCTAAGGGCAGAGTGAGCCTTGAAATGCTTGTTCTAGAGAGATCTAGAGACATATGACCAGCATTTAAATGTCAGAATTAGCCTGCAGAGGCAATGGGCAAATGCAAGCAAGTGCAGAATTGTTTCATTGGTGTACAAGCTGAAAATGGAAGGTGTACTGAATCATATTTATTTTCTCCCTCCCTCTTTTTGGCTGTCCGTGCATGAGCAGTACCTACACCAGAAGAGATGTCTAATTTAACCCCAGAATCATCCCCAGAGTAAGTATTTTGCCCTTTTTTCCACCAAATACCTGTGTCGTTTCCTGGCCTAAATGTCATAAGCTGACATATTACTGTTCTGGATCAGTATCTGTTTGTAACCTGTTGTCCTGTGGGTGGGACGGAGGTGTGAAATTATTCTTTTGATGAGGACCCTACATCAAATCTATACCTCAGTAATGGCAGGGGGTCAACAGATGATGAAACAGTCTCCCAGTAACCACCTCATGTTCTCACAGCTTTCTGAGTTTGCTGGGTTTGTACCATGTTTCTTCTCTCTTCATTCATTTGGTTGTCAAGTCGATCACTCTTTGAAACTGGAGAGGCTAGTCAGTGGCTTATACTGGCACGAACTGTGCACCAAAAAGTCTTCCTTTTAGTACAGGAGAGTTTGCATCCGCAGGATAGCATGCAGGAGGCTCTGCTAAGATGATTCAGAGGGATCTTTGGCTGCCAGAGTAAATGCAGTGTTAATTCTAGGCAGCAGTACTGGGACATGGAGAAGCTGTTTCATATTCACCAGGCTCATTCCTAAAAGTCAGTGTACATTTCAGCCATTTCACTGCACAAATGTGCATCACTGCATGGCAGGTTTGGAAGTCCCTGCCAGAGTGCTGCTCCAAACACTTCCTAATATGCAACAGATGCCAAATTATTCCTTTTTATTTTCACAGCTTGTGTTTGTGCACCCAATGCCCATAGACTTAGCCTGCCAACCAAGGCAATTTGGCCTCTTGTTAAGAGACTTGTATGAAATATTCATGAGTTTTGGATGGGAATTTTGAGCTGAAAGTTTTGTAAATGGTGACAATGGTATTGTCTTCACAACTTGCCCCAGACCTGGCTTTTGTCTGGTGTGAGACGGACATTCTATGTGTATAGCTGCAGAATGAGGGATAAAGAGGGATAAGCACTTCAGGAGAGGGAGAAGTAGACATGAGTAAAGTTATTCAGGAAGAAAAGTGGAATATACTGTGTTTTCAACACTTTCAAGCATTTACTAATAGAGAGGCATGAGAGAATTCCATAAAACTGGCACATCATTATCACAGAAATATACAATACTCTCATCTCACATGTTTTTAAAGCCATTAAAACAGAAAACCTTTAGAATTAAATTTCTTCTCTTCCTTGCATCTATGCTGGTGGAAGTTTTGCTGTTAATTTATTGCCTTCCCTGCTTCCCACTCACTCTTTAAAAGCTGGTGGAGAGAAGTAGTGCCTATCATTTGAGGCCGTTTGGATGCAAGTCAAAGCCTAAGGCCCTCTTTTCTTTTTCTGTATAATTGCCAAATTAATGAGTTCAATTGGGCTGCACCCTGCAGTAAACATAATAAAAGTCATAAAAAATAATGAACTAGATTATACTTTAATGATAGATGTCTGTTGCTCAGTGCCCACTTCCACATATCTTATTTTTTCCCATATTTTCTTCTTTTCTGTAAGAAATAAGATGTCCTTATCAAGAGTTGTATTGACCTCATGGGTTGAGTGATAAATACATGTCCTAGCTCTGTCTGGTGCAGCAGTGCCTGCCATTCATTTAACAAACTTGATGATGAGGTAATACTCTTTGACATGTCTGGGTAATGCTGTTCTTTCTCAAGTGAAAAAGCCCTAGAAAATGTGTTAGGGATGACATTTAAAGAGACTTAGCTCCAGCTGCTTTAAACCTGCAAAGCTCCATTTGCTTGTGTAGAAATGCTGCTATTTATGCCAGGCAGGTAAACCTCTGGAGGTTACTGATCCATGTGCTCAGAGACAGAGAGGGAACACAGAAGGCTACGTGGTCAGACACTCCAAAAGTAGGGAAAGGAGCAATATTATAGGAGTGTTAAATTTGGTGTGAAGTAATAAAGCACCAGCCTCTATTTTCATGCTACTTGCTTTGCTTTTTCATCGAATGGACACCTGATTTGGATTCCTTAGTGTAATCTACATACCCAGCCTCCCCCACATATCTCCTATCCCACTCCCCCTTTAAGAAGTTTGCCTTGGTATGAGAAGATTCTTCATTTTAAGTACATTTTGTTCTGCTTACATTCTGATCTTGAGAGATGCTAGAGCATGTCATTCGGGGTGCTGAGGATTCATATGCATTTTAACCCAAGTTAGTAGCACTTAGAGCCCCCTAAGAGGAGAAAAGGCTTTATTGTGTAATTTCACTCCAAAACTGTCCCCTCTTCTTAGTGGACCTATTCCCTAACTGTAAGAGTACAGCTAGTTCTGCCAGTTTTGGGGAGAAAAGCCAGTGCATGTGTGCTGTGTCTTGATTCTGCTCATTACAGAAACAGGAGAGGCCACTGGCATCTATTCTGTCTTATGTGACACCAGCAAAATTATTTTAGTGAATTCAAATGATTTACAAGCTGGAGCATAGCCCAGGCTAGCAGTGAATCTTCCAGACTTGCTATTACTGGTGATAACCTCACCAAGGAAAAGAGCCCAGATGGATTTTGGAGGCTCCAGACCATGTTGAGCAGGGAAAAAAACTCCCAATGTTCTGGGCCCTTATTACCTGTGCTTGTTAAGAGACCTATAAATGAAGGGCCAGCAAAACCATTAATGAAAATACAAAAATGAAAAGCCATATTTTAAGATGGCAGACCTGCAATTAAATAAGCACACTTTTCCAGGCCCATGCTTCCCCTTGGCCCCTGGAGTCCATCCAGCAGCCCTGGTTCAGATGATGATATATCCAAGCCTAGGACAAGCAGCCGTTTTAGATGGATAACCAGGTGCTAATTTACTAATGAGCACAGACCCCTTACATGCAGGGAGCTATTGCCCCAGCTCTCCAGGGGCTTGCAGAGTTGTTGTGGTGTGTGAGAGACACATGAGCTAATTAGTATGTAATTTTCTTCCTCACTCTAACCCTGGCTCCTTAACGACCATTTCAATGAGAGGCCCTTTCTCTTTACTGCTCCCTGTGCTAATCTCTGGCTCACTGGCTTATTTACAGCTGCCTATGAATATTTTAGGGAGTGACAGTTTTCCAGCCCACTTTAATTGAGTGGAGGGCACTGTTTTAACCAAATTGCAAGTGAATCTTTCTCTACTCTTATTTTTGGTTGCCTGCAGTAAATGAAGCAAATCATTATTTGCCCAGCTGAGCCCTCTTGCAGGTGTGGTCTTTCTGCTGTGTGCATTAAATGGGCAGTGGGGCCACAGCTGCATGATTCATGGAGCATTCTGAGATGGAGAATGAATGCAAGTTGCTGGACACTGCTGAGGTCAAGTTTTGTTCTTTATCCTGAAGGCCTAGGCTTCAAATTATTTTCTTAGTTTGTTCCTCTCTCTCTTAGCCTCTGTCCTTCCTCTGCCTCTGCCTCACTTTGCCTTAGAAAGTGAGGCTACTTGCAGCCTGCTCCAGCTGTTTATTGTTCTGCTGGAAAACTGGTGTGTAGCAATCCCTTTTGCAGATGGCTCTCCTTGCCTGGAGAGATTGTCTTCTTCCACTGAGTGATGGATGTCCATCCTGTTGCTTGCCATACTGCAAACTGGATTTGGTGTTATAAAGTATGCTGTAGAGGGGGTAAAAAAGGCAATCTCTTGGTGGCAGGTCTTTTAATTTCTGACATTTTCATGCTGAATTTTTTCCTAGAACATGGCTGATTTAAGTGTGGTTTTTCCTGTGCTTAGTTTGGTCCAGTAAGTCTTTGGCTGTGTCTCACAGCTGGCAGTCTCTTTTCTCCTCTCAAAACCACACCTGTCAGAGATGCTACTTTGAGGTCTAGATAGTGTCTCTCATTAACATTCATGTCCCTGCATTCTTCCTTTAGCCTGTTTAACTTAAAAGCCAATGTCAATGAAGTGCATTGGAATGGTTAAACAATAAGCAAAGTCAAACGTTTGCTGATACGATCACTGTGAAAAAACAGAGCAATTTCATTTTGTGATGAAACAACCACCTGATGCTGGAACAAACCGAAGATCTGGACTGCTGTCAGTGGAAAGCCTGAACTGTGCTTTGCATGGTGTTGTTATCTTCTTTCTTTATACTGAAAATTCATTCCTTTGTAGGCTGGCCAGAGTTCACACGCTATATAGACACCATGAATGGGGCTGATGAACAGAACAGTTTTTGTCCTGGCCTTGTGTAATTGTGCATTTCACTCACTGGTAGATTGGAGCTCCAGTGAAATCTACAGCTTGCTTCAAGAAGCAAGGGCTTGTGACTGTACCAGGACACCTTTAGAAAAGCATCTTTCCAAAAGAGTTGCAGTTGGGTGGGAAGGAACCAAAGGAGTTGAAATTTGGTGGGAAGGAACTTAAATCTTTATGTCACCAGGATCTGCATGTTGTCACAAGAAATTGAGACATCCCTGGAGACAAACCAGAAATGTGTCCCCTCATTTATATGTATGTTATGTATGCAGTATTCACTGGTATGTTGGCTCAGTCAGAAGAGTTACCATTGCTCCTGATTTTTCACTGTTGGTGACACATGCTGCCAGACCTAGGCTGTGTGGTCTGTCATTTCATCAGTTTTCACCAAGTGAAATGTCATTCTGGATGTTCTGTGATACTATTTCCCACTTATTAGCAGTAATATCATCGCATCTGGAGCGTCATCAAAACTTTTTCATGTGTTTTTTAATGTTTTTTTCTAGCTAGGGGCATGTATGAAATAAGAAATAGTGTTCCATATTCTAAACATCTCTTTCTTTTCATCACATCAGGCTTGCCAAAAAATCCTGGTTCGGTAACTTCATCAACTTGGAGAAAGAAGAACAGATTTTTGTGGTCATTAAGGACAAACCATTAAGCTCCATTAAGGCTGATATAGTCCACGCTTTCCTCTCGGTGAGTCACCCCAGCTGCCTCTTGGAGGCATCCCTCACTGGTCTGTCCAGGACTCCATGTGCCAAATGTTACTGGACAGGGGCTCTGCTCCTTCAAAAGCATCCTCTGTGGATTTAATTTACATGGCCTGCAATGGGCTGTGTATGAATTACTAACTGTAGATAATGCTCTCTAAGGTGAGAAAAGATTTCAGCCTTCTTGGCAAGGCCTCCAGGTTGCCAGAGTTTGGAATTCCACAGCAGTGGAGCACACTGCTGGCACAATATCAAGACAGTGATTTGCTGCTTTGTCAAATCAGCCTTACATTCGATGGCTGAGCAGCAGATTGGGTTTCCCTTTGATGGGTATGCCCTCCACCACTTCAGCCAGACAAAAGGCCTGTCTTACATCTGCACTTGTTACTTTAAATCCCCACTTCAGTGCTGTAAGGCAGAAAGAAGGGTGGTTTCTTCTGGTGTCCAGAGTTTCAGTTGTTGCAGATGTGAAGAAAGCAGGGAGAAATTGTCTTTTTTTCCTATAGAAAGTCCTTTTTCTCATTATCTAGAGGTACCATGATGAAAAAGCCAGGACAGCAAAGGTATTTCAAGAGGTTTTTCAATTCAAGGTAGTCAACAACATAATTAGACTTTTTCCAATAGAATTAAGAGAAGGAAACTTAATTTCTTATAGAGTTTGTTATATTGATTTTTTTTCCACAAAATACTGAACTCCATTTTAGTCTTTGTGATTCTGCAATTAACTTCTTCAAAAAAATAGCTGTAACCCTTGCTACTGTACAAGCACACAAGGAGTAAGTGCCTTACAGTAGTGGGCATCAGACACTGGTGTTCATCCCAGGCTGGTTGTAAGCAGCCATGTTACTCTATCAATTTCATGCATTTAGCTGTGCTTTTTGGGTTTGTATTGTTGTGTAGTGTGTTCTACTGTCTGTACTGGCGATCCTCTGTGTACCCCACGTGTGGCTTAGGTGCGATGTAGGGACTTGCATGCAAAACCAGTGAATTGTCTCTTACAGCAACATCCAAACTTAAATGCATTGTCATAGCCAGCTAATTAACCCCTTAAAGTCAGCTTCTCAAAGAGCTCATCTTCATTTTTCTCCTCCTGGAGATTAGAGACAGATTTCCAAGTAATTTATTTATTTTTCTTTTAATCTGGTCCTTTATGAAGCAATAAATGGAATATGAGTATGTTGTTAAATTTTGGAGGAAAATGTGAAAGGTAACTGCTTGAAAATTAGGAAGTTATTAAATTCCACAGTGGTTCTAAATACACAGATGTTGCATGATGTCACAAAGCTTCTCAGAGTTCTTTTACATATTTACAGAAGTTTGGGTGAGTTATTTGCAGGCGTCCTTTCCCTGTGGATGTCCTAAGCACTTCAGGTGTCCTGATGTCTATCTGACATCACAGAATCACCAAGCAACTGAAGTTGGAAAGGCCTTCAGGAGGTCTCCTGCTCAAAACAGGATCAGCTGTGAGATCAGACCAGGTTACTTAGGTGTTTTTTATATTCAGTTTTATATCCCACTGACTTTTCTGTCCACTCCCTTAATATCACCTTTTGCTCAGCAAAAGGCATTTCTCAAAAATGGTGGATGAGTAGGACAAGAAAGATTGACTGTATGAAATTGAGCAACGTGTAAATTCGTAAGTGTGTTGGGTATTCCACCAATATTCAACCCTTAAATTGAGGTCAGTCCTGTAAGCAGTTGTGCATTCTTCTGTGGTGCCCAGCAACCTGTTCTCTTACTGATTTCACAAAACCACTGTACATTAAAAATTCAAGACCAGAAGCAAATCTAGCAAATGTTACTGATTCTGGAAGCGTGTGTTGTTATAAACAGAATTTTGCAGGTTTTTTTCCATTTAGCACTGGTTCTACTTTCTGCTTCTACCAACCTCTTTCAGATCCCAAGTCTCAGTCACAGTGTCATCTCACAGACAAGTTTCCGTGCAGAATACAAGTCCACAGGAGGTCCTGCTGTCTTCCAGAAGCCAGTGAAGTTCCAGGTGGACATAACATACACAGAAGGCGGAGAGGCGCAAAAGGAGAACGGGATCTACTCTGTCACTTTCACACTCTTATCAGGTAACCATGGCAAAGCTCTAAAATGGGTGCCAGCTGCCTTGGTCCTTGCTGATAATAGAGGCCTGCAAATTGCTCTGCCAGAGGAAAAAATATAACTGGCTTAACCTCAGGGAAATTCAGTCAGGGGCAAGGAGGACATTAGGAACAAAAATGGTGTTGGTAGTGATGGAAATGCAGGGAGGGAAGGAGATTCCCAAAGAGGTGAAGTTGGCACTGCCATGATTAGTGCTAAAATGGCTGTTCTGCACACCAGTTTTGGTGTAACTCATGGTACTGGCTCCCTGTTTCGTTCAGAAGTCCCAGAGTCTCAGCTGGGCACTGTGAAGCCATAGTTTCTTCCTTCTGACTGAGACATGCGCTCACCCTTTTCTTCTGGGTGGCCACATGCCCCGCAAAGGGGTTGCAACAAAGAAACAGACCCCCTCACCTTTTCTGTCTTTACAAAAGGAGCCCCAAAGCCATTCCTCTTCCAGTCCCTTTGGCTGAAGGACAGACACACAGTCAGGACACCTCTGGGGACAAGACTGAAGGGAAGGTGCTTGTGATCCTTCCCCTGCAGCCTTGTGTGTGGGCTTGGCTCTCATTGCTCTCACAGCTGCTTGTGCCTCTTCTCTCCTGGCAGGTCCAAGCCGTCGCTTTAAGAGGGTAGTAGAAACCATTCAGGCACAGTTGTTAAGCACACATGACCAGCCTTCAGTGCAGCAGTTATCAGGTAAGTGGCTTCTACCGTCCAGCACCTTCAGCAGGGACAGGAAGGTGAAATGCCTCTCGTAGCAGGAGGCTGAGGGAGACCATCCCTCTGATTACAGCAAAAAACGAGCTCCATTCAGACAGAGCAGTAACTCCCTGCTCCCACCCCACTCCTCCGTTTCTCATTCCCTCTCCAGTGCTCCCAGCGCATTCCCCAGTTGAACAGCTTCTGCCCTCTGCCCGCCCAAAGAGCCATTTGCCCACTTCTCCATCAAAAGCTGCATCATCAACAGATCTTCCAGATTTTCTCCAGTTCCAGAAACTCCCAGAGTAGGGACATGCTCTAGAGGATACTTGATTTTCAAACCCTTCAGGCGTACTTTAGAAACCTCCAACTTCAGTGGGTCCCTGAACAAACTTGAGAGCTACTTTTAACTTAGCCATTAACATGTGGTCAGGAGGTGGCTAATAGTTTCCAGGAGTGTGATCCAATTCTCAATACTGTGGTAGCACAAATTATATACTAAGGTTCTGCAGAAGCTCTATTTTATCTATTTGAAAAGTAAATTTCAATTCCTTGTGGTGGTAGAGAAAGCCTTACATGTGTGACCCTGTGCAATGACATCAATCTGGATGTGCAGGCAGCCTGAATTGATAATACTGAAACTGGCCTCATCCCATCATTATGTAGCAGGTGTTCACTCTGAACACTGAAGTGGTTGTACAGACACACACAAAATCTCTGTGGTAACTCTTCTATCCTCTAAAAGGACAGAACAAAGAAGAAGGTGAAAATTGAAAACTTAAGGCAGATAAGCTATTGGGAATGCATCAAGGAAGGAAAAGTAGAGAAAAGCTGAAAGAATGTGCACGTACTGGAGATAAATAGGTGCAAGGTGGAGAGCAGAGGCTGCAGCAGAAGATGGTGAGGCAGAAGGAGCAGGAGATGAAAAGAAAGTAAATAAATACTATGCTTTAGAGCCAAATTCTGTTATTGACCCTTGTGTGAACAAGCCAAGACAAAAGTGGGGGAGTTAAGTTGGCATTGCATCCTCCAATTAAGTTCCAGATGTCCTCGGCTTGTTGCACGTATGGGTTACATCCTTCTGGTCTAACTGTGGCTTTAGCATCCAAAGATAAATTAACTGCACATAGAAGTGTGTATGCCTAGTACCTGACAGAGAAATATGCTCAGTTCAGTGTCCTCTTTGCTTTTGGCCTCCAGCACTGCCTGATCCTTCTGCATGCTGGAATACAATGGTGCCCAGCACATGGGTTATTCTGTTCAGAAGCAGGGAAGACAAGGACATTATAACTATGGTTGATTCAGGTTTTGCTGCCTGGACTTTTGAAATTAAATCAAACTCAAGGAAGCAGCTAGAATTTTCTGCTAGCCCTTCCTCCTGGGAAATGCTAGGGCTGAGGGGTTGTGAGGGGATTGAGATCGGAAAGCATCCATTAAACATATTTCATATTACTCCTGATGCATGGACAACATTCGAGAATTCCTTGTTTCTTCAGGAATGAGGTTTGCCCTTACTTCCTTGTGAGGAAAAAGTTATTTATAAAGTAAATAACTTGATGATCTCTCTTAACTTCTTCATCCTAATTAGTGCTAGCTACTGAGGCTCTACAGAAAAACTTGAACCCTCTTGCACACTTGCCTGTGTATCTCCCTAAGAAAACCATATTATAGCAGGAATAAAAGCCATTCATCTGACCAAGACTCAGGGAAATGTTATGGGCATACTCTGCTATGAAAAATGTATCTGACTTACAGTTTTGCTCTGGTTCTGGAATGAAGAAATCATATTATTTTTACTGCCTGAAGCTACATGAGAGCATATTGTTCTAGCAGGGAAAACCCAGCCTGACCTATAATGCCAGACTGAAACTGATAACTTCACATGGAGCAAAACCAAAATTAATGGTCTCTTGAAATTTAAAAATAATAATTCCCTTAGCTGGGGACTTATCCAGGCAAGACAGCTCACGACACAGGGTATCAAACTGTTCTGTATCACACCACCTAACCTGATCAGGAATATGCAAGTATCTTGAAAATGAGAGAAGTCAACCTGAAAATTTTAGGTTTGAGCAGCATACAAGAAAGAGAGAAAAGCAAGGGAAGGGAAATAAAGGGTTTGTTACCAAAAAAGAGACAACCTTTGCATCAAAGTAGGGTGGCTCAGTAGTTCACATACCCAGCCAAGTAAGTAAGGGAGTAAGGGGAAGTAAAAGGATAAAGGACAGAAAAGTTCACATTCAGCACCTTGCTTAGCTGGGTGTCTGGTTGGAAATGTGTTCAAAATCTTCCTAGAAATTGTCATTGAATTAATCAGCATTTCTCACTAGAAGCAAAGCAGTCTTCTCTGTTTCTCTTCTCCTCCCATGGTGCCAGCTCTGAACACCACACAGGGATTGTGGAGGTTGGGCCCCTGTTCAGGTTCAGTCTACTGCTGCAACAGATTGAGCTCACCCTCACTTAGACTCTCTTCCTCCATGGCTCTGTGCACGGGACTGTCCCCTGACCAGCAGCACTGGCTCAGCACTGGAGCTTTTCCTGGCTCCTTGTGCACAGACACATCCTATGTGTCTTGTCTCTCCTGCCTTACAGAGTTCTGATGCTCTTACAGGTGGGATGATGAAAACAATCTGTGAAAGGTGCATGCATGTAAATGGAGACCTGCAGAAGGGGAAGATTTAATTATTTCAGTGTAAAGCAGAACAGCAAGGCCTAAGGAACATGTGACAGTGAGAGTCAGTCTCTCTGCTGCCCATCTGATCTGCTGTGCAGCATCCCAGCCCCCTGAGCCGGCCTGCCTGGGTTTCAGAATGCATTTTCCTCTTTTTCATTCCTCCAGCTGACAACAGTGTTTGTAGATGTCATGTTGCCCATGCATCTCTGTGTGTGTGTGAGCCTGTTATGTACCTGATTTAGGCAGATGTGTTTCTGTGTCACACTTGAGCACCTTATAATATCCGTTCCTCCATATATCCCCCTCATTCACTTCCATTTTTCCTTTCTAAGACTGGCTGTGCCTATTTCTTGTGGCATACTCTGAAGCAGGAAAATAGATTCCCTCCCTTACCTGAAAGAAAGTGTAAATAAATTAAATCCATTCCATAAGTTAATGTAATGCTTCTAAAATCCACTGTCTCGATGGACAAATTTAGTGCAACATACCAGCTTTGTATCCTAATGTTTCAGGAGCTCTGTGCCATAACTGCTGAGACAATACCAGGTCTGTGACTCATAACTTGCACAGAACAAGTTAATAGGGATTGATTGTTCATTTTTGCTTCCTGATGAAGGAAACTAGAGGCCAGCATAAGGTAGTGGAAGCCAAGTACCAAGAAAGCCATTGAGAAACATGTCTTCATGTAATCTAGAACTGGTGGAACTCCTCGCTGAAGCAGGTTCTGAATGTGAGTGGCTTACAGATGCTCATCTTCCCCTGAGTACTTCTTACTCACAGGGAGTAAGAAGTACTCCCTGCAGAGAAATTTTCATGGGACTACTAAACAGAGAAACTACAGCAGGTTCAGGAAATCTCAGTGGTGAGTGAGGCAGTGGTAGGAGAAGTGTTCTGTGTGCTTGGCCTGCTCTTGCACTCCTGGGTGTCTGTGGAGCTGCTGAGGGACACAGAGCAACAGTTCACAGAATATTCTGAGCTGAAAGGGACCCACAAGGATCATCAAGTGTGACTCTCAGATGGTTTTGGCCTTTGATCTGACCCAGAATAGTTGTCCATGTGTGCTTGTTACTGGTGTCACAAAAGCCATTACGCTCAGTGAGACCATGAAAGGGCCCCTTTGGGATGGAGTCTCACTGTCTGTGAGAGCAGCCAGCCTTGTCTCTTGTCCATGAATGGCTCCATCCAGGGCCCTTATACTCAGAATCTCTGCTTAGGTAATCCCTGGGCAGACTGCCCTTTGCTGGGATAAAAAGATCTCTCTCCATGGAGGACGATATCTGAGATTTGTTCCTTTGTTTCAGCCCAACACTCTTTCCATTAAATCATGATCTGTTTTTCTCTGATGCCTTTGCATGAAAGAGTAATAGTAGCAGCTGGTGAATAGGGGCATGCAAAAGCCATCTGTGATCATTCATAGGGTAGCAATTTTTATTTCCCTAATATTTTCTTGCTTCTCTGAGCTTTGGTTTTCAAGTGTGGGATGCTACACATTCGAATTTTTTCCCATTTTTTCCCCATGTACTGGGCAATCAGCAAGACTGAAATAACCTTTAAAGCTTCTTTGTAAAAGGTTTTCTTTTTCCTTATTATATTTATTGGCTTCATATCAGATTTTAGCTATTGACATCTCCAAGTTCAGAGCATCTCGCTTTTACTGCTAGAAGTGCCTGTCATCAGCATAAACAAGTGTTTAGAGACCATATCTAGCTTCAAAACAGGGCAGTGCAAATTCTTCCTAGAGCACTGATCTGTGAGTTCCAGGTATTTTATGGCTCATAAGAACTGCAGGCTGGCAAATTGCCACCAAAAAAAAACAGAAGTAAGAAACCTACAGTTTCCAAATGTGTGAAGAATTTTACCAAAATGGAAAATGGAATAAGGAGCAAATGAAGTGCTTTTCAGGGTAAACTCCCAGCTGCAGATTCAAAAAAAGGACTCTGCAAATGCCAGTTTGGAATTGGATTACATGTTAGCTTTTTCTGGGGTTCATTCAGCTCTGAAGTTTCCTGCAGTCTTCTGTGACCCTCTATGTCTTACATTCTTATAGTGTCTAGGGTAATGACTTCATTTTGCTGTCACAGTTCCACCTACAAAAAGTGCCCTGTAATGCCTGGTTGGATTGGCAGAACACTGTGTTTTTGCTAAACAGCTTTAGTATTATTACTGAGCAGCCTTCATTAAAATTAACTGGTAGTCCAGAAATAAAGCATGTAGAAAAAAGTCCAAGCTCTCCAGAGTCTTGATAGGAAAACAGAATTTCAAATAAGCACAGAAGCACTGGGGGATCTCAATCTGCATGGTAACTGCCTTGGACCAGAGGAGCTGGTGGCTCCCTTGACATCATCTCCCTTAGTGGAGGTGTTTCCTGGGGGCTGTGAGCTTCTGGCAGGAGCTGCTCAGTGCTTTCTGGGATCCAGCCCTGGATCTGGAGATCTCAGAGGAGCAGCTGTTTGGGCGAGATTTCCTGGGCTGGGATGGGTCTCAGAGCTATCAGAAGCGTCACAAACCAGGCAGCTTCCTTGTGACATCTGTGTAGGATAGAAATTAAAGAATAAAGAAAATTGGGAAAGAAAAATGTGCAGAGCACTAGTAGTTTTTAAAGGATTCAGAGCTTGTTTGGCCTTTTGAAGGGGGGTCTTATTTCAAGCAAAGCATTTGCCATCTGTTAGTGAGCTGAACTGGGTGTCACCTACGAAAGCCTTGGTCAAATCCAAAATGTGAGTGACTTCCAGCAATTCCTATAAAATAAGGAATTGCCTTATCATCAGAAGGATTGAGAGCTGACACTGCCACTATGTTTTAATTTATAAAATGAACAGGACACATTGAAAATGCAGCTACCTGACCCATCAGTGCTTCTCAGACAGTTAAAAGCCTTTGGGCCCTGGCTTTATTCACTTCTCATAACACCTGGATCCCACAATCACTGGATTATGGATTACTATCCATGAGGAGAAGCTGATTGGCAAGAATCTTAAGACTTCCAATTAGAATCAAAATTCTGCTTTAAAATGATGGAATACTTTATCACATAGAGTATTTACTAAAGCAGATGTTACAATAGGATGGAAATGAAAGAAGTATTAAAGTAAATATTCTAAAAGAGAAGCTGAAGACACATTAACACTGTCTTCCAAGTGATGCAGCATGAGCTCTGTCTCTGCCTTAGCAATTGGGGAAAAACAATCTGATCAGGTATTGGAAAGACACTACAAATAGAAATTAATTCCTGTGCAGTTCCTGGGACTAGCCCTGACAATATGGAGAATTCAAAGCATAATTGTGCATAAAAGTTTTGAGAAAGACAAATTAGAAGTTTTATTAATGTTAATTTGATTTTTTTTCCCATGGTCTCATATTTCAGAAAATTTTTCTTACCTGTCAAAACTAATTCTATGACAAAAAAATTACAGAATTACACAAAATTACTTTTTTTGGGAACCAAATGGGCTCCAGAGCCCAAGATATTCAGCTGTCAAAAAGCCTCTGTTACAATCCCTTTTTTGTGTGTAGGTCTGTCAGCTTGTATTCTAATCACACAACTAATGTGTGTAGACCTGTGACACAACTGGCTTTAAGTACCAAAGAGAGCTGTGCTGACTGCAAATGTCTTAAGAAAAAAGTCAGTGTCAACTTAGGGAGACATGATTACTCTTTAATTTGTTAAAATGAGGAATGAAACCGAAATACCAATTTCAGGAGGATCTTACACAATGTTTTCCTGCTCTGACATTATCCAAATACTACATTTTTGTTTCCAGATTTCTGGTTACTGTGTGGCCAGTCAGTTTGGATACACTTGAGGGGAAAATTCCAGGTGTTGGAGCGGGGAGTCAGAAACATTCTGGTCATATTTGAGATTTTCTTTGCTCTTTATGTATTCTTTCTAAGTTCTGCTAATGGTTGTGTGAATGCTCTGGGGTCTACCACTGTAGATCTGCATCACTCTGCATTACAGCAAAGGGTAGTGACTCTGAGGGGTCTGGACAGGAACCCCTAAAAGGCACAAGACAACAAAGTTCTCCAAGTTAGTAAAGAAAAAAAAATTATACAGACCATGACTGTGACTTCTAGTCATTGACTCAATCAGCAGCTGTAGGCACTTCTCAAACCTGCTAGGCATCTTCAGGGAGAAATGTATTGAAATTGTATTGTATATGAAATTCTTAACTTGCCAGACCAGGGAAAGCATTTCAAAGGCAGGTAAACTCCTGGCCTGACACCTCTGTTGTTCTAGATCTTGAATGTTCTCTTCTTCACCTCCATCCTTCTTCCCCTTTCTCTCAATCTTGTGCCTTTCTGAGAGAACTTCCCAATGACCTCTGCCAGCCCACCTTTAGCCTTGGGCATGGAGAGCATGTGACCCCTGCTTAGATGCTCTGACCAGTGTCACTGGAGCAAGCAGCTGCCCTCTCTGCTCCCTGCTTCCCATATCCATGCTCTTCTAGCATGAGTTCAGCTCACCCTAGCATATTCCTCCTCTAATGAAATTGCTTTTCTCAATATTTAAGGGGAGGAATGCTGAGAAATGATCTTCCCCTCTATCCTGCAGACTTTACAGCAGATAGGGAGTAGTTAGAGCTTCCTGGCAATTAGGGATTTTCAGCACATGTGTGCATTTTTCCAAGAAACCTATTTCTTGAAAACCCAAGTGTTCCTCAAGAGCCCAGGCAAGGGGAGATCTGAGACTGATCTGAGTGCTTTAACTGGTAGCCACCTGCTCAGCAGTGAGTGCTCCACAATGCCCAGGAGCACATTGATTTAGATTCCAAATGCAAGGGAATCCTGGCTGACAGCAGCAGATCTGGCTTTGCCAGCAGATTCCACATGGAAGGGTCCAGCTGGGCTGGGCCTTTCTGTTTTAAAGCTGACATGTGGAGCTCCTTCTGCTTGTTGCACCTGAGTAAGGAGCACCCAGAGTCTGTGGCAATGAGAGCTGTACTCAAAGTGGACAGTAATGTCTTAGGGCCAGATTCTGCCACCTTTTCCGGAAGTGCTGTATTGCCTGTGAATACTGACCTTGAAAGCAAGAACAGTAAGAGATTACATTTGAACGGGAGAGTTAGATTGAAACTTTGACATTATCCTTTGGGGTTTAAAAGATGATTTTGAGCTGTACAAGTAGCCTCACTCCATGTCCAATAGCACAGGGCTAGATTTCTTCCCTCTCTCCAGGTTTTTGATGTAGATATATGAGCTGGCTGAGCGTTTCCTGGCTGTTGCAGGCTAATTTGAAAAGCTAGCCAGGTGAAACACTGCATTCAAGGCTTATAGTTTGCTAATGTGATGGCAGAGTATTTCCCATATCTCATAAATACCTCCAGCCACGATAAAGGGGTGAGTGGAGGCAGCAGTACTGAAGCAGCCCCACTCTCAGTCACAGGGCCAGGTTTGCACTGGCATAGAGTTGGTGGCAGAATTTGGCCTGGGTTGTGTAAACACCAAGATGTGTGTATGTTTCCTGCTTCAGGTAATAATGTGCTAAGTTACTACTTTATGCACAGAGGTATGGAAACCTTTTTTTATGTTTTTCCCTCCCTCCCTCCTCTTTCCGCTCTATGATCCAGACACCACTAACTGTATGGAGTTGATGACTGGCAGACTTTCCAAATGTGGTAAGAACTTCCTTCCCTTGTGCCTTTCCACCTTCCCCAGCCCCTGCTGAGCAACATAACAATGCGCCGTGCTGTCCTGTTGCACCTCCTGCCCGTCCCTGTCCCTGTCCCTGCTCCCCCACGCTCTTTTCGAGACTCCCCACCCTGTAACAACCCTCTATGTCTTTCGCTCACCTGGAGGGCACAAGCACATATCCCTTGTTCTGTTCCTCCCCATCCATGCACAGATGCACAGGCTCCACCACAGCTTTCCCCTTCATGGCACAAACGTGTGGTGTTACACTTGAGATACCCTCTCTCTCACTGTAACCCAGGCCAGTGATTTTCTTTCCTGATTTTTGTTTCCTCTTTTCTTTACTTGCTGCTGTTGGTTCATGACTCTTCAGTCCCTTTTCTGCAGTGAAGCTGAATGCTGCCCTGCTAGCTGCTGTCTCCCTTGGTTTCCTGCTATTTGTTGAGACAGGAATGCTGTGTTATTTAACTCCATTTTGCATCCACCCCCTTCTTCCCCAGATGTCCTTGGGGTGTGACACTTCTAAATTCTCCCTAAGACACACAGCAAATTATGTCAGACACTTGGCTAAAGTAAACTGTCATAGCTCCCCTCTGGACTTGGGGAAGAATGTTGTGTGTCTAACTGAAGGAGTAGTGAACCTACTGAAGATTTGGAATTTTGCTAGGAATAATAAGAAAAAAAAGTTTTCTGCAAAACTTTCAGCTCAGCTTGCTTGGGCTTACGTGAATTTTAGTTAACTTGTCCCTAGCCTTCCCTTCCCTCCCTGCACACATGGACTGGTCGTCTTTCTTTCAGTACTTGTGCCTCTACTCACTGGTCCAAATACAACAGTGGAAATGCCTAAATACTAAGAGAGATGTTTTTGTCTTACTGTTCATGTCTTGTACAGAAAGATTCTGTATGAGAGAACTCTGTTCTCTTTAGATTTCCATCCTGGTATCTAGGTTGAGTTCAGATATCTCTGTGAAAGGGGTGACAAGATGGTAGGAAAGTGTTCACTGAGCTGGTGCTGCTCTCCAGCTGGACCTGCACCTGCCACGCTGTCTCTTCATTAACTGAAGAAAGTTGTTCTGGAGTTGTTCTGAAGTCTGTAACCATAAAGGGAAGTTGTCATGGTGGAGATAATATTAGGTTTATGCATGTGTGACTGAGGCAGAATTTGGCCTGTGTTTCAGGCAATCTCTTTCCCTTAAGTTGCAGCTTTGCTGGTGGGAGTTTTTCATTTGCTCAGATAGGAGTTCATTTGATTTCTTAGGTGACTTTTCTGATCTTATGAACACTCATTTCCAACCTTTAGCTTCCTGAAGTCATCAGACCGCAAATTCCTCTTCTTCCTCAAGACTTCATTTCTTGCCTGGAATCTGGCATTCACATCATACAAAATACAAAATGCTGATTCTGCTGATTGCTTGCAAGTTAATTGAGCTATGGAGATAACCAGGCAACACCCTGCATTCTCTAGATAGAGAGATCACTGCTCATGAACTCACAGTTCATGCAGGCCCTCCAGCTGTCACTGTGTCAGCAGCAATCCAACAAGGAACACAGAGGACAAGGTGAAGGCCAGCAGGGCAACTGTTTTGTGGCAGCTACAGCCCAGAGAGAGAGGAGATAGGATGGCCTATAGGAGTTTAATGGAGATGCTTCCTTTAAATCACATTCCTGTTGGTGAACTCACAAACAGTGTAAGCAGTGGTGACTGCACTGTGCTGAATTCCACCCTCCTGTGGGAGTGAGGAGCTGGAGCTTTCTTCTGCTGGAGCTCATGCATGATTTAGATAGGGGAGTGAAAGGGAACTATGTGAGCTTTTAGCCTATTTGCCTATTTTTGGCAAACCTTTCTCTGTGGTTCTGAAGATGAGAACCCTCCATGATGTTAACACAATGTTCATCTAGTAATAACAAATAGTGTAGAAAAACTGTATTCTCTGGGGATTTTGACCCCCTTGTTTCCTATTCTGACACTGAGCACAGGAGGTCATTCTTGCCAAAAGAGTTAACACTGTAGTAGGGAGAGCTGATCAAGTTCTTTAGCCTGGCTCAGCCATGTGAAAGCTCTGGTGGGAATGAGGAACCTGTTTTCACCCACTATAAACCACTGAATGCTGTAATCAACAGCAAGGAAAATTCGTTTAGTCCTTTAAATTTGATCTCATCTTCTGCTAGCAGTGGTCATCAGTCTGAGGAGAGATTATGCATAAAGTCACTGGCTTTGAGAAACAAGTTAATGTTGAACAATGAGGTTTGTCATAGGAGCTGTCAGTATCCAAATGACATAACTGCTGCTCTACCAACCCTACCTGTGCAAACCAGAAAACTGCTGCCAACCTGTAGTATTTCACAATAGAAGAAAAGAATGTGGCTTATAATAAATTGAAATGCATGCTGGGGTGAAATATTTCATTTTATGTTTTCACCCATCTCAGCAGGAGAATGGGCATTGCTGTTGCCAGGAAGACTAAACTGGTTTCCTTGAAGCCTGTTCATAAGATTAAATTTGCCTTGTAAAAATTAAAATATTTACATATAAAATGCAGCTGTAACCTGAAAAACATCTACAGGAGTGATACTTTAGCTGATCTATTCCTGTGTGTATTCTCAGCCAAATCAGTTTAGTGACAAATAAGCTTTACCACTTTATGTGCTGTCGTTAAGCCTTATAAAATCAGCACAGCTGTAAAAGGACAAGCTGGATTCTGTTTCTTTTGAAGCAGGATTGAGAGAACTGTTTATTACCATCTAATCTGGTATTTATGTCTATCTCACTGAAGAATAGGTTGTATAATTAAGGTTCTAATAGGTTCTGCAGAGCCTTTACATTAAAAATGAAAATCAAGATAATACATAAACTGAAAAGCCCTCCAGCTTCAACCACAAAGCTGGGAATTAGAAAGCAAGTATCATTTATTGTACACTGCACTCATTGGATCTGGAACCATTGATGCACACCACACGGAAGCCCATGATGCCATTTCAATAGTCCTTGGTCAGCAGAGAGTCTCTCTTCACAAATTTTAGTGACTTCAAGTCTTTCATGTAGTGAGCTGAGAATTTCTTTGGGTGATTGATTTCATGGTAGGGCTGTATATAGCCTTTGATAGCTCCCCTTCCCACCCATTCCCAGTTTTTTGGAGTCCTTGGCAAGTATGTTTTGCCAAGGTGCTGGAAGCTGACAGGAAGCTCTGAAAAGCCTGCCTTATCCTCCACTTTGGCTTCTGAGATTAACCCAGGAAGACTGTAAACTTCCCAGTCTTCACACTGCCACTATCTGAGGATGAATTTTACTTGTAAGTAAGGCAACCTTTGCTTCTTATTCTCCATCCCTGATGATTCTCAGTGAAGTCTTCAGTTACATCAGTGGCACTTCCATGGAAAGAGGGTGATGATAAGAGGGGGAGATGGTCAGTTTGGATAACTGCTGCAGCTCCAGTCAGATGATGCTGTCATGTTAGGCACTGCACAACCATACACTCCTGCAGAATCTTGGACCATAACCCTGTGCAGGCTGGAAAGGCAGCCTTGTATTTACTTTTAAACATTTATTTTGTATTGCTGTTTACAACTGAAAACCTGGATTCCTGGCATCAGAGTTAAACAAGAAGCTTTTTGGTTCCTTGTGGGTACCAGTGGCTATCACCAAAATTATCTGATCAAACCAGTAGCACAGCACATCCACTTGCCTTTAATATCTCATCAGTGCATCTCTCTCATCCCTTTTGCTTCCAGTGTTTAGGACTTGACATTTTTCCTATTCAGAGCTGTCTGATCTTGCTGGCCATGGCTACGTGTCCTTAGAGAACCACACTGCAGTAAAGGCTTCTCTTTGTAGCATCCAGCAATCACAGTTTGATTCATGCAGACACAAGCCCATGCCAGTAGTATTCTAATCTGCTTGAGAAGTTAGGAAGCATTTTGTAGTTTCAAACTGGTTGCATCATCTTTGGGTTGCAATTGCAGCCTGTATCTTTGTGAGTGCTCATTTAGAGTCTGTTTTTGTGTTAGTAACAGCAGCAAATACCTGGACTTGGTGTTCTTGGAAGTGATCCTGACCCATATTGGCATTAATTAGAGTAATCCCACTTCTAAAAGTAGCTGTTTGATGGAAGAGGGGGTTGATGATTTGCAGCCAAAAAGTTGCAACTGTTGGCAGAAATATTGGTGTCAAAACCTGCAGAAAAAAGCACACACTGCCCTCCCAGCTGAAAGGCTCTGTTAGCACTGCCACACCATGAGGTGGTCAGAACAAGGGTGTTTTATTAACATTCCTGGAAAATCTGCTGGCTGCTGGTTTTGCTGAGCATGGCTCAGGTTGCTCTCCAGCTCAAATTGTGGCCAGCTGAGAGATCAAAGGAAGAAGACCTCCTGAGAGATCACATACTCATTCAAAATGGGTGGATCACAACAAGTAAGATAAGTCAGTGGTTCTAAAGAGTTCAAGCCGGGTTTGCCAGTTATCCCTGCCCATTCTGCCAGTGTCCTTTGCTGTCCAAAGGAATGGCTGACTCCCTACATACTGTAGTTGTATGTCTTCAGTCTAGTGCTGTGTTGGGGAGACATTTATTTTCCAATTCATGCCTCATGTTTTTGCACTGTAGAAGAAGGTAGCCACAAAAAAGGCAACTTGGCACTAAAAGTTTATCCAGATGTATTGAACTGTTTGATTCATGTCAGATCCTATTTTGACAGCTGTGGTTAGATTTTTACCATGCAGTACAAGATCTTTTTCTCTGTAATAATATCTAATACAGAAAACACAGATATCTCACTCTTAGTTAAGATCACAGTGTTTATTTATGATAGCCAGTGTTCCAGGAAGCTACATGGAAATGCTTGCTGGACTAAGCTAAGTTTGAGATGCCTTACCAGAAGATTAAATCATCTTTTGAAGTGATTTATTCAGTGGAAATGAGGAAGCAACATTTCACCAGCATGCATAGGTCATCTATCTCCTTAGGAACAGGTTGAAGAATTTGAAACCCTTAAC